ATAGTATACAGTATTTCAATAAACTTGTGAAATTCAACAAATTCGATGAGATTTGTACGCATAAGATATCGTGCGTGTTTTAGAATATCTTGAGTACATATCGATATAGTCTCTGCTTGCTCGCATCAATTCAATAAACGACATGTAATTGGAATGATAATAATTGTCATTATAACAGTAATAATAAATATAGTAGATAAGGTACGAGAAAATCACACGAGGCGTTGATCTTTAAAAGACCACGTTTCTCTTAATTGGTCGAGGGTACTACGATCATCCACTATTACTGGGTAACTATGACTACATCTTCCATCGTGGGTCTCCGAGGATACCGTTAAATCTATCATCTATCGACATACGCGAATTTCCAATTTTCTTACTCGAAGGAAAGATTTCTATAATCGCAGATGAGAACTTTATTCGCATGTGCCAGAGTCTAATAGTTGAAACTTAGGAGAAACTCCTATTCCAATTCCTTCTCTCCAGTTAAGCTATGGATGCGATGATTTCAAATAAACGTTCAACCCTTGTAACTACGTTTGCAAAGATATAACATATGAAGGCGACCCGGTCGATGGATAATCGAAGCTCCTTGAAGATACTTTTTAAGTGCCACGACGATCAGCATCGTACGTGCACTTTAATTAGAGACAATTAGGTAGTCGCGTAAACTAAAACTACTTTGTATGTGCGACGAAATTGCCTAAGAGAACGAGCACTTTTCTCAAATCGCCGAATACAGGAAAGAAGAAATATAGAAGTCGACGATATCAAATCGAATTTTGTTTGAACAGACGTTATAGCATAAGTTGACAAAATTTAAAAAATTCATTCGTATTTGGGATACAGCATTCAGACTCCGTTATAATTCATTGTGTCTGGACTGTTCCCGTCGCATCGATCTTATCTAGCAATTCTGCGATTCGACAGTTCACTCTGAATTATTGAACTGTGCTATTTCGAACCGTAAAGAAATATTATTATCCGTCGACGACATACCAATTAATCTTTTTTTATAAATTAATTTTCCTTACCACGACCAAGCGACCTGTCGAATCCAGCGAACGATTCGCACGCGACGCGAGAAGAAAAGGGATCAAGATAATACTGTTAAATTCATCGTGCTTCCGATATCACGGTTGAAAGACTGGGTAGGTAGGGTAGGTACATATTTACAAAGAACATTCGATGAGCTCGGATGGCAATCTGAAACTCGATTCTCACTGTTTAATATTACATGGTTCTCGAGATTGCGCTCAGAGCTGAATCGAACGTTGCGTTACAATTTCCAGGAGGTGAGTGGCTCTCGGGAAGTGACAAAGGTTAAAAAGTAATCGTAAAGATCTCATAAGACAGTGTCGAGAGTGTCGAGACTTCGCAATAGCTGCTCATCCTTCGAACACCATTGTACTAATTCCTCGATTGTCACCACGCCGTCTTTATTCGCGTCCATTAACTGTATCAATCAGATTTCTCATCTTTACGTATGGTCTAAGAAAATCTTCTACGTCAACTAAAATCAGCTTCACGTTTCACGTGCCGACTATAGGAACCGAATCGACCGCGTTACTCACGTGGAAAATGCGATCGACGTGTTCCCGGGCTGCCAAATGCGGCTCGACTATTTGTGGCTGAGTGTAACGGCCCAACATCTCGTAAATCGAGCCGACTACGTCCAGCATTTCCTCCTTACTGATCAACCCGTCCCCGTCCAGGTCGTAAAGCCCGAATATCCATTGAAGTTTCTCCTCCACCGATCCCCTCGACACTTTCGACAGGATGGTCAAGAATTCCTGTATACAACGTTCCCTGTGATCTCTACTGAAACGTTACATTTACGTATTTTCTTTAGAAAGACTCTCACTTCGAAGCTGATCTTCCCGGACGGTTTCCTCTTCATGGTGTTGAAAACGTAATGAGCATACTGGCTGGCATCTGAAATCGACATCGATCGTTTCGACTCGTCGGACATTGAATCTGTCTCCCGCGGGACTCACCTCCCTGCGGAAAGAACTGAGAGAAGATCTGCTTGAAAGCTTCCTCGTCGACGAGGCCGGTCGGGCATTCCTGCTTAAAACCGCGATAGATCAGTTGTATCTCTTTCCTGGAGAACCTGGTGTTGGCCGCCAAGGTGGAAAGCTCCTCCGGCTTGTACCTGCCGCCGAGGGCAAGGGCACCGGCGGTGGAACCCCCTAAAACGCCCCCGAGTTCTTCAAGCTCGCTCTCTGCAAGTTTGCCAATAGGGCGGTTCTCTCCTAAGACTGTACCACGCGTTCGAGATACTCCCCTCTCACCTTTAGGTAAGGGTGCTTGTTTCCTTTCTACTTCAGGCTAAGGGAGAACGCCGCTAAACCCCTCCCTTACTAGCAGGCAGGGGAGGAGGACGGCGCATCTACTTACGAGACAGGGTGCAAACGAGCTCAAAAAGAAACGCATTTACACATGGAGAAAGATACGGCCGGTGCCCGGGAAGATAGCCCGGCTCATCCCTCCGGGCCACCTGCCCAAACTCCCTTCGGGTCGGGTTCTACGGGAGACAGTGCGCGCATTGCCAAGATGGATGAAAAGTATATACCTGGAGATGTACGGGTGCACAGACTTGCAGGCGGAGATTCTCGTGAACGAGATGAACGGTAGGAAGAAGTTTGCCCAGGTAAAACATTCTCGACCGATTACAATTTTCAACGTTAGTCCGGGAAACGTTACGCGAAGACTGTGTTTTACTTGGGAATGGGTGAAGATTCGCACGATTCCATCATTAATTCGTATAGGTCGTTCGTCGACGATGGAAAAATGCGTGAAGTGAATTGAAGTGACAGAAAGTAGTCGTTAAAAGTCAAACAGGTTTCAGGTGGTTCGAGGATGGCTGTTTAATCCAGATTCGAAGAGTTCATTAGAGACCGATCCGCTGGCACAGTGCCGAGTAATCGCTTTCGTTAACGAGTATGAACGCTGATCGCGCCGGCTGGCTGAAAATTTTCACGCGACCGTCTAGACGCGTTTCATCCCGAGGCCGGCGCAAGGTAAAATCGATACTCATTAACGCGGAGGGCTATTAATATAATTAACGCCATCGAAAATAAGATTCAAGATCAAACGAAAGCGTGACTCAACACTGGAGCGTACGGAGCAGGGATAAATCGAGCTCTAAACAAATGCTATCTCTAGTACAAATGCACCTAATCGTGGAGGTACCGGATCGACGATCTACCGACATACTCTACGAGAGAAAGACACTCACTACTACGTATTTACGGAGTCATCGTACCTAAGGTGACGATCACGACTATTGGCACGCGTTCCCCTATCGTTCAGAACTTTCGACACTTGCGAATTCCACAAGTTGCTCTTTAACTTGCTGATCGATCAGACTCCGCGTCTCGTTCGAAGCAAGTACGAGCGTATGCTGCGAGTAATTTTGCAAAGTGGAAACGAATTCGCGCGTGTCAACCTATCATGCAATCGTCCCTTTTATACATGCTTTCGTTTGTTACTCGAGAACGACCAAGCGAACCGCTTTTTTCGCGAATGTAAAGCTCCGTGGGGCGGGGAGAAAAGTGAAATAAACCAATGTCTACTATCTCTGATGCAAGCTGAGAGAGAGATGTACAGAGACGAAGAGTCAAGAAGCGAAATAGCACCGAGCTTTGTTCGTGACTAAGGTAGAAGCTTCCCATTGATCGCTGCTAAAATTACGATCAACTGTGTAAGATACGAATGAATGTATAATATTAATTCCTTTAGGAAAATGTTTAAAAAGACCGGAGAAGCTGTAAAGCCGGGCGAAGAATCGATACAGAGAGAAGGAAAGTTTGCGTTTCTACGTCTACTCTGCTAGAAGGGTAGTACGGTAAGAAAGAAAAGGCTTCGAAGAAAAGTAGCTCGGGCGCACCATTGTCGGTCTGGATTCGTCTAAAACACGGCCGTGCGCCTTTCAACTGGCTTCTATAGTACACACGTTATAGACGTATATGCCTCTGCACCGTGTAATTCCACAAGCAGCTCTGGTCCCGGGCATCCGGGGTCACCATAGCAACGGGAGAGCTCCTACCCCGTATCCACCCCACTTTGCGATTCCGCTTTCGGAGCATTTGTCAATTAAAAACGCGCGAGATCCGGGCGAGATCTGCGTGTACGTACATATATATGTATATATATATATACACGTGAGAGAGAAAGAACAGGGAGAAAGAGAGCGAGACACAGAGCACGGTCGCGTCGGTCGGTTCCCTATCGGACCAACTAATCAAGATATGTTCCGGGGTGCTATTCTCTCAAAGAAGGAGTCGTCGATCAACGGGGCAAACAAGGAAGAGAATTTTTAATTCGTTTTATCTTTTTTTTCCTCTATCGAGCGAGTTGCCGCACCTTGCCGTTGCATCTTTGGCAGCTGTTAGCACTGACTGACACCGCAACGAACAGTTTTCGCGATTAAGGGGGAGATCGGTCGGGCCTGGGCTGTGTCGATCCCTTCGTCTCAAGGAGGATCTCTTTCCACGGCGTATCGACTGGCCTGCACCGATTACTGGAGAGGAAACTCGAGCGGCACTACAGTCGGCCTGTACGATTGATGAACTTACTTTTGTCGCGGCTCTTACGTGCCTTCATTGGCCGTAAAACACCGGTTCGCAGTCGATCAAAGAGCGAACGATCGCTTCGCTCGGCGGCGATCCCGTCTGCGATTTCGCTCGTCGTTTCGTTTACGATCTCAACGATCTCTTCCAGTTCCCTCTAAATTTAATCGAACCTGACGCTGGTTCCGATCTTTCTTCCTTTCTCTCTTCCCTTCTCTTCCTATCCTTCCGCTCCTCCGAGGCCCCGCCGGTGGTCCTTCCTCTCGTCGCTCCGAGCCGATCGACGCGTGCACTTTCCCTGATTCACCTCGATCGATGCTCCACGATGGACTAACGTAACGTAACTCAGCCACCAGAACTCGGTAACGACGTGCGCGGCACTCGCGCTGATGCACTAAACAGCTGCCACGCAAAAGCGCCGAGTATGCCAGCTCCCGCGCAAGTCCAGATCCCTTTATCCGAAAGTATGTGCGCACCGTACAACAAATATTGCCGCCCGATTGACGGCTGTTATTTCAATAAACATTGATCATTCGCTTCGTTATCGTTGTTTATTTTACCACGATCTCCGGCCGTCTTTTATCGAGCCGTCGTCGCCACCCTCTATGCATTATTTATGAAGCGACTCCTGTTCCAATCGTATAATACTTACATTTCTAGGCATCAATTATTTTAATTGGAATCTCGGGTTCAAGCATCGCCATCAATTTGTCAAACAATTTATCTCGACGATACGTACATCAAATACGAGCACGCGATCGTATAAAAGTAATCGTAGAAATCGGAGCTCCTTAAGGAGCAAGTAGTATGAGACGCGTTTGGGTCAGACGCATCGAGCGTTTATTTGTACGACTTATTTCCCGCGTTTCAAGAAAAATCGTTTCGTTCATTAACATGACGAAGTCGAATGTTGTTTTAAGGAAAAGCGAAAACATTTCACGTGCCACGTGCTTCAGATTCGTGCTATAAACGTGCTACAGGGTAAACAAGGATTTTATCTCGATTGGAACTCGGCCAGGAACACGACTGTAAATGCTGTTCAATGTTGTTTCCAATAAATCGAGCAATAAACGCGTTAACCCGTGCAGATTATAGTAAATGTTGCACAAACATTTTACATTCGTGAAAATTAACAGAACAAATTGAAATCATGATTTGAACGTGGATGAAGGAAACAGGTGTTATCGATCGATCACATAGAATTGTAATATAATGATTTGCAGATGGCAGGATAATAGCTTTTATCACTGATTAGAGAAATAGAAATTATGTGAGAACCGAGGGTAGGATTCTTAGTTGGATTGGCTTGGGTAGGATTCTAGCTGGATTGGCTTGGGTAGGATTATTTGAAAATGAACAGCAAGGATATCTCAAAGTTATCGTACAAGGAATTGCAAGCGTTAGCCCTCCAGTACCGCGTGCCCGGCAACATAAAGGTAATTGATTTTTTTATTGAGAAAAACGCGCGAACAAATTTCGCAAACTTGTTCCCGTTTCTCGATTCCTTTCATCTAATGACAATCAGATAAATGAATTTTTTGAGCGATCGATCACGATCTCTGACCGTAGAAGAAATTACTGGTTAAAGTCATACAAGCCGCGAAGGTCGGAAATGGGAATGAAGTTAGCAGGCTGTTACAAGATTTTAAGCAGAATCGTAAGAGGAAAGTGAGAAAAGTCAAAATCAAGAAACTCGGGTTAACCTCCACGCCATTGCATAATTCTGATTCCGTTATGACCGATGATTATTACTGCTCACAACAACAACCACCTTGTCAATGGGTGAGCCGATCTTCATATCATTCTGACACGGTAATGCATGGTACAGAACTCGAATTCGTGGTTCATTCGTTACAAAAAGTCTCATATTCATCTCAGAAATCGATGACGATCAAAATAGTAGATTTATTGAATTACTGTATTGATTGTCAATCGATTATAATGATACATAGACGCGAAATTAGGAAAGCAGTATGATTTTTATAAATTTATTTTAATTAGAGAAGCATTAGTGCAACTCGGATAACATAAATATTGTTCCTTTAGGTTGGCGCGGAAGAAGAGATAGCAAATAAGGACGATGACAGTAGAATAACTCAGTATGAAGAATTCAAACAGTTTTTATTAAAAAGAATGCAAAGAGACAATTTTCACTCGTACGATGCGAACAACAATGATACTAATAATTCCACTATATTATATGTAAGAACACCGTCAGTTTCTTCCGAGCAGAAAGATGCTTTAGAAACCTGTAGCCATCCTAGGTGTCATGTGATTGCTGTTAACGATACGGAGTCGTTTGTCTACCAGTCGAATGAAAACGTAGAATATCAAACATTGGGAGATACAAATAATAACGTTCAGGGGCCTATACTTCTGAAGAAAATGTTGCAAGCACCGGTCGGTGCAAATTTAGGGGAGATAGCCAGTCCTGTATTCGGGAATTACAAGTTTTGGACCATGGAACACGATCAAGCGTCCAATAACATATTAGATGATTCTGATACTTTGTCTGCGGTATCAGATAACGGAGACAATGAAGAAAATTTGGAAAACAATGCAGAATACTATGGTTTTTTAAACAGTGTAAAGGGAGAATACTTCCTAAATGAGCCGACTTTTGCGAAAAATACTGCGCTCGAAAAGATTGGTCAATTTTCAAATGTATTAACAAATGAAAATGCTAATCAATGCAAATACTACGCCACAAATAATGATATAAATCAAGAGTATGAAACATGGACTGTCGCCAATGTTATGGCCACAACAGATAACAATGGTGCAACCTCAGATTTTCAACCGAAGATGTTTCAAAATGTGTACTGTGATAATGTGGGGCCTGATACATTGCACAATCCTGTAAGTGATGATCATTTATCTTGCCAATATAAAGTAGCAGAGGTCACAGATTCTTACAATGCAAATCAAAATATATTGACTCTTCATCCATCGGAAGAAAATCAGTATTATGAAAGGAATCTTATTCCTAATGTTTTACCTGACTGTCAGAGCACATATTACGTACCAGATACAGAAACTAACGTAGAATATGTACCGGAAACGCAATCGAACGTAAACGCAAATCAAAATCCAGTTGTACCTCAAACATTTGCTAACTATAATCAGTATAACTCTGATCTATCGTACGAATATTCCTACTCGCAGAGCAATCTGAAGAATATTCCACTGTCTGGAAATCCTGAGCAGTTCGACCAAAATTGTAACGCAGTACAAATTGAGCATAACAATCAGAGAAACATGCCTAACGTATCAGAGAAAGCACAAGTAAATGGCGTATTAGATCCATTTTGGCCTAATAAACATCCAAGAAGTCCCTATTTGGAGAACATGCTGAATTTGATTAGTAACAAACGGATAGATCTGTCGAAAGTTGATCAGACGTCTTGCGTATACTGTTACGTAGCTCCTATCGTTACTCATACATCAGTATCTTCAAATTCGACTTGCTCCCAAAAGGAGAAGTTCGTTGCCGAATATAGACAACATTCCTTCTCTCCAAATTGGCTACTCTACAACGATACGTCGTACGGTTTGCGAATGGCGAATTTACAAGCGAAGATCCAAGAAGAATCGCGAATCATAGACGCGCAGATGTCGACTAATAATTCCGATCTACGGGAGTCAGCCGAAGGAAGCACTTCAATGTCCGAAGTGTGGACGCACAATTACGAAGACAAGGATGTGAACATGGGTGAGGATTTAAATACTACAGTTACGGACTGTTTATTCTCGGTAATAAATACTGATCCGTTGGTCAGTCATGCGACCAATTTCTCTAAGAATCAAGCTGAGTAAAAGCTGTTTCTACTACGACAATGCGTAAAACGTAGTACGTATTTTTATTGTAAGCAATAAAAGTATAAAAATGTCGATATGATGTAATTAAAAAAAGAGTAATTACGCATTATTTATATATTTAAGATTATAAGTTAAAAGCGATTAGTAGAGGATTATCAATGTTTAGTCTTAAAAGAAGACATGATTTGTTATGTTCTATCATGATCATATGCGTTCGTTTGGAACGTGAAAGGATTTTGTTAAGTTTGTATAGTTATCGAACTACACAATCAGCGAAAGAAACGCTAAAAGATAACAACGACTCTTATATGATCTCGAAACATGCAATATTTTCTTTATAAAACAGGAATGAAGAAACGAAAGCGAACGTTGAAATGAACCAAGAAGGGAATCAAATATTTTTCTACTGTTAATCTTCTTTATCCTAGATCCAGTATACTATATCATCATTTATATATTTTATAAAGAATAAATATCAATCATTACAATAAATGTATAATATACAATATGTGTACATTCTCCAAAGCATAGTAAATTGCTGTTAAAAGGCGAAGGGAGCTATTTGTTAAACTACCACTTACTTGGAACCCCATCCGATTGCATTTGCGTTTTCAAATAATTGAAGACCTTAACGGGAATTGATTCCTTTCTTCGATTTTTGTACACACCCACATCGGGATTATTTTTTGAAGTACTTTGTTTATCGCATGATCTACCTGGAGCCATATGAACACTATACATTTTGCTTTTTCTCTTGAGAATTCGTACAATGAACAAGAACACTTTCGCGGTTTGGCAATAATTTTAATTATTTAATATAATTCAAACGACCAGTCGATCGCAGTATTTAGAGCATATTATCCCAGAATCACGTACAGAGAAGTCAGGGAAGTGTGCAACTTTGAGGATAGACCGGCTAGGCCAAGATCTCTGCCACTACTGTTTTTAAAAAAAGCAATACCGCGATGTAAGTATGTATGTAGGTAAGTGCCGTGGCGCATTCGCCCCGTATTTAATGAGATCCTTGAAAGAAGCGACTAATTATCTCAACGTTTCATTCATTTTTACATGTGAAAAACAAACATGGCTTAGCTTCATGCATTGTTTTGTTACGAAATATGGAATCAAATCACAATGAAATAAACCATTGTTTCCAGAGTATAATAATTACTTTTAAACCCCCTATATTTATGCTAGCATATTACAGATGCGTGTTAAACTCTTGCACGTGATGAGGCTTAATTAAAATTATTGCCAATGAACGTATATTCATTAATATTCTTTTAAATTTTTTATTTAAAGTGAGATACGCGTCATGCTTCTCGATCTCGCGTCGGAACTGGTCGGAACTGATCGGAATTTGTCGGATCGTAACAAGAGGAGTAGGAGTTATCTAGTTCGTAGATAATAAAGAATCTACGAACAGATAACTTTTCGTAATACACACTGTCCTAACCTTTTTAGTATACAACAACATTAGCCACGATGTTGATAGTGTTGATACACGTAACAATGTCTTAAAACATTGTTAACTCGAGGGAAGTTACACATAAGTCATAGCACATAAGATCACAGGTATTGTCACGAAAATAGAAACAAATATTGAACAGCGTTATATTCATTTTATGCATCCGTTTTGAAGGCAATCGCCTATTTTAAAATCACAACTATGATCCGAACATCAATGGTATTTAGTGCTAACGCGTTAACAGTACGGAATTTAAACGCGTACGATCATTTAATTACGAACGGGCCTCGCATTCAATGCGTGAGATGGAAGAGGAAACCGATTTGGTTGCCAACGGCAAAGTCTAAAGTCTTTCGAGTACCGACAAGACCGGTTATACCAGAGGAAGACTATAATGAACTTAAACGCTTGCACAATAATTACAGAACGCAAATGAAATCGATACTGTACGTGATTGTCAATATCATTTATAATAAAATCATCATCATCGTATCAGCGGTGTGCTGACTGATAATGACGTGTTTTTGTTTTGTTAGGAACTTTTTCGAAGAGCAAGAAGAGATAAGAAAACAGAATTTCGACGAAGCTACTGTAAATGCGAATATAGAGAAAGATTTCGAAATCTGTAGCTATTTAAATAATACATGGAACGAGCAATCGGCTATGTTAAGAACAAAAAGATTGGCCGTAGAAAGGGAACGTCGTTTTAAAGAAATCGATGAGAAATTGGAAGCCAAGGCAATAAGGGATAAGCAAATTCAAATAAGAGTGGATACAGAAATCAAGAAGGCAAAGGAGCAGGCTCCAACATTTATCACGCAAGAAAATATAGATGAAGCGATTAGAAAAGCATTAGAAACTGTCGTGGACCATAATGTAGCGATCGATATTCATGGTAATCCTTACAAAGATAAGCCTGAAAATGTATCATCTAAAACAACAGTTTAGAGAATAGATATGTTATATAATAAATTGCTTGTACAATAAGAGACGATTATCTTTAATAAACCTAGATCTATGCCATACTTATGTCTACTTTGTTCCTGTCAATATATTCTTGTCTAATTCACAGAATATGTTTATTGAAAATGATCATGTATAATGCATTTGTAATATACAGTAACAAAAATTTCTGTAAACACATCCATTCAAGTTTTTTAAGCATATATATTCTTCGCAATACGGTATGCAGGCACTGCCGTTTAACTATCTCTGATTTCATAGCCTGTTTTTCCATACTGTTACAACTTATGTACTTAGCACACGCGTGCCCGATTCCTTGTAATAAAATCTAATAATGTATTATCGTCGTACAGTTTCACACAAAAACGTTTTACGAGTAGAAGTTCATTTTATGTAATAAATAATCCTCCTGTATCGACGATAATCACAGACGGTAATTTGTAATTCGTTTCTGCGGTAGTCACCGAGATATCGGTGACACCGACACCGTAAAAATCTACACCTGAATGAAATAGTGTTTTCGATCGTCTAGTTGTAAAATATTTTTATGCGATTCTACTTGCTTTATGCACTGCGATGTGGTTTGTTAATAATAATTATTACTTTTACATTTCGTACACATTCGTAACGCGTCATGATGTGATCGTATCGTCGAAATATCTTTGGTTTGAACATAGACAATTTAAAAAAAAGAAAAAAGGTGACAATTAGATCGCAACTTTTCATGAGAATTTCGATACGTATGATTAAATGTGGTATATTATGAAAAACGTTCAGCTGTAAAGCCTAGTAAAAAAATCTATCATATTCTACTATTTTACAGTTCGTTCAAATGATGAATAGCAATGATAAATGTATAATTCTATTCCGATATTTATTGTACGTGCTTATGTATATGCTCCTAAAGTTTAAGAACAAGTCTTTGAGTTTCAAAATCTGTAATTAACAACGAAGCCTTGCATTGAAATATATATCGCTACATTTACAATGGAAGTAAAATCAATAATTATTGACGAATAGTCACGGGAAATAATGATCGACAACAAATTTCCTAATCCGGCTTACACGTTAATTGAACGATAGAATTAGGTAGGTATAAAACAAACGGTACAAGTGTAGGCTTCGTCATTGAATTGTGACATGAAGCAAATTGGTAAAATTCTTAAGTAGCAAGTTATACTACGTATATATACTATCCGGACAAAAGTGAAAAAATTATATTAATATAATTATTAGTATTACTTATTACATTACTGTTGTCATTTCTCAATCGTAAACGTAAGTTACATAGGCGTTTTATTTACTTTTACAACTATCAGCTATGGTATCTTTGACATGAGACAGGGCTATTGCACTTCGATACCAGTTCTCTACCGTATGTACGAAACTATTATTCGGAGGCAACGTTTAAACCATCGTATGAACACTTTTGTAGAACATATTTCATTTGCAAAACGTCCGAATTTCGTTAATTTCGTTCCATATTCTAGCCGAGAATTCTATTACAATTATTCCTGAACGTGTTAATTTCTTTTACAATCTATATCTTATGTTCTCGTATTACAGATTTAAGCTTAATTTAGCTTAATTTAGATGTACAAATTCTTTTCATTATTCTGGATCTTGTAAAACCTATGGATATAGGACGTACTGAAGCACCACAATTTGAAGATGTGTTGCATTCGCATCGTGTGAGCTTGGTAAAAATATAGGATTTATAAAAATTCTTAGTCCTGTTCATTATTCTGCGTACGGTATAATATATGAAATTGATGGCACATGTGTTTCTAAAGCGAACTTGGCGATTTTAAGTATGCTTAAACACGATCTCTTCTTTCGTTATTTGAGCTTCGAATAGACACAAAAAATTGATGGAAATAACGTTTCGTGTATTTTATCATTAAAATACAGTTTGCGTAAAAACTTTTTCCGCTTCGCTCCGTCATTCATTAACAAATGCACATCCCTCCATTATTTCTACTGTACAACATTTCTTTTTTCCCCGTCCCCTCCCACTCTCTAATTAAAACGTGTCTTTTTTTTAATGATGTTAATAGACTACCTCTTTTCGACCTTGTTCCTCTCGCACAAGGTGTAACACATAAAGTTCTTACAATAATAGTAAAACATTTCACAATAACTCAATATTTTCTTAATCAAGAATAACTCATTCTACATTTGTAATTATCAATGCGCATACACACGTGCTTATATATATACAAAAATCTACTCGCGCTCAATGAGACTGATCTTGATTAAGTAATAATATATGAAATGTAAGGACAACATGAACACAAACAACTAAATAATCTCTATTCAATTACAACAGAGAAGCAAAAATTTCGAATACTACGGTGTGTTTCAATTGATAAAAACAAGCTGTAAATCTTTCCTCGTTTGCTTAGAATAAACGAATAAAAGATAATGAATACATATACATATACGCTCATATATGTATATATGGATAGGTATAAAATTTGGTCAACTTTTTTTCTGTATGATGATATTATCAAATATATATATATATATATATATATATATATATATACATATATATATATGTATATAAGAATATTTTGTACCGATATAGAATAATAAAATGATTGATAAACAGTAAGTATAATTATTCAACAAGTACTACATGGTAATAGTAGTAACACTCGTAGCAGAGAGGAGACAACTAAATGAAAATTTACATAAAAACATGATCAGTTCAGTTAGCAGAAGACTGTACCACGTTATCGCTTTGTCTCGTCACCAACAACTATGCTAATAATTATAATAATACTAACTATTAAATTCATTTATGTCCTTACAGCAAGGAAAGTAATGGTAAAAAAGAGGAGGCACGAAACATCATTATAAAATCAAACACTGCAGGTATTTAGGTAGTGATACTTTTTGGTTGTAAAGTATAAAACAGGTGACAATACAGAAGGTAGTTCTAACAACATTCCGTCAAACTACTGTCAGTACAACCGATAGATATAATAAAAATATGCCTCCCTAATGCGATACATACTTTTCTCAATATTCGATTGCTCCCATTAATGTTTCACTATGCGAACGCCCCTCGTTCCGGCTCCATTCTGGTTACACGCTACGACTTTTTTTGACACTATAGATTTATAGACTGGATTTACCGTTACTATGTCTACATATTAAAGCTGTTATCCGACAGTACTTTGATAACTATCGCATTGTTAGAAAACCTTCCTACTGTGCACATATATAATCCATCCTTTCACCGTTGTTGTATTTTCGACATAAACACTGTATTTAAATCTTGTTACTGTTCTTTAAGTAGGATATATGTCAGTTACGCTATCTTACAAAGCTAATCTCAAAAAACGAGATTGTGACTATTAATGTTTCCGAAAGTATCACGATTTACCCACGCATTTCGCTGAGCTCACCAGGCCATGCCATGGAAAATGTATTATTTCTTCCCTCTCCTCTTAAATCAGATAGCGACTGCCTATTATAAAATAGAAGCCTATCGCCCTACCTTCATTTCTTTCTGTAGATGCGCTTCCTTCTTCTTAAAAAATAATTTTTCATAAAGAAAAATAATATCTTCTTCGCGAAACGTTTGTACGTTGACGGTAATGCAAGGCCGTGGCACACACTTCATTCTGTGCGATAAATCATGTGTGGAAAATATATAAAAAATCTCGACGTAGATCTCGGGATGTTTCCTGCCGAATCTAAAGATCGCAATGTTCCCGTGCGAAACGTTATCCGCGATGATTATCTTATAAAGTTTCACACGATACAACACAATATCGCACGCGTACGCGCTTTATACATTTTGCACACTTGACGCAGAGTTTGTAGCGATGTGATGTCTTTTGTAACATAGATATTGTCCAAAATTAAATAAAATTATTCAATTCCCCGTGGACCATCTATCGGCATCGTATGTAAAACTTCATCTAACAACTGAAGGGCTCGATGTAAGTGTACCTATATTAAATACATACCAAATTTATTAGTTTGACATACTTTAAACCAATTTATGACTTAATGAAGACATAAATAAATACCTCTATCCAGCATGGTGTCTCTTTTATACTTTGCCGGGGATAATCGGGACCCCAACCCTTTACGAAACTCAAACGTAAAATGCAGAGTCGTCGGAGATCATCTACGCCTATCCCTGCTGCTGCGCTAAGACCTACAGAAAATTGATCATCGATTAAATGTTTATTTCAGATTGTGTAAACGAAACTGTGTTTAATACTAACTCTTAGTAATCGGCGCTCCGTGCGTCAAGTGTCCTGCCACGGCTGCAGCTTGCGCCGCGGCTGCCGCTTGAGCAGTAGCCGCCTGCCCTCTCATTTGTTTATGACACTGCCGAAGATCGAACACTTTAATATACGCGGAAGGATAAATTTTATGCACAGCATCACCGGGCGCACGACCTGCCTCTCTGTCTAAATAGTAAGACTGTACAAAGACACTATGTTCGCTTTGGCATCTCAACCAAACGTCTCCTTCGCCCCTTAAATCTAATACGACTCCCTTTCCTAAAAAATTCAAAATGCATTAGAAAATGAATATCATAAACAGAAATTAAAATGACACACGAAATACATAACGTACCTATGTGAAGACGAGCTTTCTCACTTTGTTCCGTTCTGTGTACATTGCTTAAAGCTCCTAAGCAAAATCTATTACCGCCGCTTGGGTCTACGTATCCGTCGACGGTTACGGTAGGACAACCGCTGCTTACTTTAAACGTTTCCCCCACTTGAGTATCTAATTCAAAGTAGCCAACGGAACACCAATATTCTGGCGCTGGTTGGGTAGATAACAAACCGCCGATGTTGCCACCTACTTCACCCCCGTGACCACCCCCTGAAGAACGTAAGGATTAGTTAGTTGAGACGATAGATTGAATTTCGCACTCATATTAACTTACAATAAGACGTAGGGTGAAGGTGTCTATGGTCCGGTGGTTGCATACTTTGAGTATATGTGAGAGTATTAGGTCCAGTCCATTGAGGCGCCCCTGAATTGTAAGCGGCTGTGCCAACTGGAAATCCATTCGGATGATGTAGGTGTACGGGTGATACGGGAGAGTTTTGACCTTCACCTGTGGATACTATCAACATAAGATTCAATAGTCAACAAACATTGACAAAGCGATCGTACCTAAAGATGCTAATGCGTCAACGGTAGGCGGCTGATTAATGTCCTGTGGTGGTGTATTCGTTCCGTAAAATGTTTCGGTAGATTGTCCTTGCGAAGGACTCAGCATCTGTGCCCCGTTGCCTCCACTGGACGTGCTCAAGGGCTGCTGTTGGCTACCTACGGTGTGACTCATTGGATGTACTACTGCTGCAAAATCAAATGTGACTCGTACACAATACAGGCAACATAACATAAAGGTATCATTTATACTGAAACTTTCGCCTGGAAATAATCACTATAGAATCGAAAAAAAAAAAAAAAAAAAAAAAAATAGCAAAAGCAACGGAAATTTAACTAGCCAGTAGACAGAAAATAGAATATAAGAAAGCATTCTATTATATACGTACGATGATGAATGTTACGTGTCGTAGGATGATGAGGTGTAGGAATCCAGGTTTGTCTGGGACAACTATTGTCATCCAATTTATTGTGTGGGTTACCACCACTATTCCCTCCCCCATTACTGCCAAACACACCCTCACCACTAGCTGTGCCAAACAATAAAAGGAAAAAAAAAGAATGAAGCTAAAACGATCAAACTGGCGATGCAAACTAATTCTAAACGCGATGCAACAATGATCAGAAATTTGCAGAAAATACATAAACTATATATCACAACATCGAGGCTTATTTTCATATCGTATATATCTTAATGCACTGCTTCGTATCGTATGATTTTCATCACATAAACATGCCTTATTTCGAAAAAAAAAACACACTCCGTGTATAAAAACATATTTGCCAATAAAATGATGAAGAATGTATCGAAGAGAATCTATTTACTCGTTTATTAATAAGTACCACACATATTTCTACCTATAATAACTGGACACAAAATTCTTATAACAGTTGATTAAAGTCAAGAAAATAAAGAGAAACAAAAGAGAGAACTCACTTGGATTGGGTGGTGCTAGGCCGGGTATGAAAGTCTGCTGCGATGGTTGAGTGTTATTAGACGAGGTGGGTTGAGCAGGCGGATGATGTTGAATAGTTTGGTTCATCTCTCCGTCAACGTCCATCGCAGACGCTACCGCTCCAGCCGCAGCGGTTCCTCCACCGCCAACCGAATACTCATCTTTGACCAATCTACCACCTGGTCCCACGCCTACGCCCGACTGTAGAGTTAGTCCAGATAGGTCTGTAAAGAACGGGTCTGTGCGGGGAAACCAACCCATTCCATCATACACCAAGGCCACAACAATAAATCATTTACACTTATGGTGCTACAGATGAATGCACAAGAAGCTTTGCAAAAGAAATAGTGCGAATGAAATGATAATCGATGGAAGCGCATGATCACTCTATGTTAACAAAGTATGAAATAACATCCATAACATACCTATGCCAGGAGATACAACCCGCTCATAGTGATATGGGTTCACGCATACAGAATCGCATTTTAAGTCAAAAGCAAACTGGCAGTACTTGACATGTTTTAATTCGTTCTTGTGTAAATCTGGCCATCTCCAGATTCTCGCGTAAATAACGTGTGGGAAACCCTTACGACCGGCAACTTGAAGCCTCCCATCCAGTGTTCTCTGGATCGTGACACATTTACTTGGATGAGCTCCGTTTGTAGTAATAGCAGTTATCAAGCTATCTAACTCGTCTCGTTTTTCCTTAAAACAAAGAGAAGCATGAATTAAACAGATCGCCTGGCACAGTAAATGTTTTTAAACAATAATATTTACTTTTAGTTTTTTCACTAAAGATTCAATGGCTCTTTTACTGAAACCTTCACTCTCACCACCCTGGCGATGACACATGAGAGAATGCACTATGCTCAAACATGCATCTGCACTGGTTGGAGCACTAGGAGCAATTCCTGTCATTTCTCTCACTGCATAGAAATATTTACATTGAATAACAGAGATGTATATATTCACGTATCAGAGGAACAATAATTCGAAATGTTTAGAGAGAATAACATTATTCAGAGCTTACATTCTGGATTAGGTTGCATTGGGGGCGAGGGATACAGATGACCTCCCCCGCCCGCCAATCCAACCATCTCTGTGAAAGCCGTGGCGAATACCGTTCCAATTCTTCGATTGAGACACTATTCTTATCCTTAGCTTCGACGTGATCAGATTTTTATGATTTACCATCTAGCAACGATCTGTTAGCCATGTGTCGCGGACGTAGACTCGCTGAAATTCGGAATTAGTTAAACAAAACGAAACTGATCGGTCGTAAAACATCGAAAGAACACAAGACAAACCTTATCGGTTGATGAACAAATAGAAGTTGGGAATAACACGAAGTAACCTTAATCGAATCCCCTCACGATGACGTACCGTGAACTGACAGTTACTTCGAGTAGGACGCTGCTAGTTTTTTTCGGAGGTTAGATTGAATCGTTGCGACATCGGCTGAACCTGGTAGAAACGCACTTATCTCTAGTATCTAAATGCACAATCGGCAAAGCGACTAAAGCGCCAGGCTACCACGCGCAAGTTTCAATGTTCGCAACCGCAATAAATAATCCTGCGTCCTATTCTCATTCCCTTTTTCTCTTATGAACCTCTAACAAATCTATTCCGACTCATTATCAATAACAGTTTTCGATCGTTTTACTTCAACATTTCACTCAACATAAATCAGAACGAAAGATGTAAATTCAGGAAATTTCACGAAACATAACGATACCTCAGAGACGTGTTTAAAGAGTTAACCCTTACGCAGGGGTGAAATCTATCTGAATTTATTTCAACTCGATTATTCCTTCCTCACTGATTCTGATTTCGTGTGTTCTACACGATTCAAATGAATGGACTCATAAAAGTGTAATTTATTTGTCAATATCTAATGGTTAAAACATGTTACACATCAAAAATCACTTTTCCTATTTGACGAGAAGAATAAATCTGCATACGAAAAGCAACAACATAATGCATAGCATATATCTTTTATTGTGTTTCATACATGAAGTGTTTTAAAATTTAATGAGGAAAATATCGCAGAGTCTTAAATTATTACAAAATACATAATTCAGTGATTTAATTAGATAACGCAGGCCTTTAGTCATGTAAAATATGAATCGTTCACTAGGGGGTGTAACTCAGTGGTAGAGTGTCTGCTTCGCATGCTGAAAGTCCTGGGTTCAAATCCCAGCTCCTCCAATCCATTATTTTTTTCATATCAAACCAATTTGTTTAAACAGTCATGTGATATTTATTACTCATTTCAACGTATTTACATAGATTATATACACAATGCATAATAACAATTACGATATCGTAGCAGTAGTTCGAGAAGTGGATGCGCGTCCCGACCCATTGATAAGCACTTGAGCAGCAGGAGATATGGTAATTTCTAACCCAACCTAATCACTCCTGCGGCACTAGTACTTATGAACAGGTCAGGTTTTACTGCCCGATGCCATCAGGATGCTGTCCTCCGGTTACAATTCCCGTTGACACCTTCCGAAGCTGCAGCGATGCTTTCTTCAGTCCTGAAAAATTAATCATTCGTTTCTTAATAATTCCTTTTAGATGAAGCGTCAATTTACGTTTGCACGTTAAAAGAGGATCTTAATATAACGTGCCCACGTTTCGTTATAATTCAACGCGAGATTAGATAATCGGCAGAAGAATAAGTACAATAGCCATACGTATCGCGTGACACGTTCACTGCGTGCACGCTGTAATCGTTTCACGAAACGGATATAAGTCTTAATGTCAATTAAGTTAGCCTATTTATAAGACACCGCTTATTAATAGACTCGTCTGCAATAATTTCTTCGAACTGTAACTTAATCAACAATTAACACTTCCTTTACCTGTAGTACAAGCGATTCATAATCATTCAAAAAGGAGATTATACCGTTCGCCTATGGTCACTCGATGGAGATAGAATAGTTGCAGGTACCGATAGTAAGATACGTTATAATTATTAGCCCGGACGTGGTACCGTACACTATATGTCCTACACACTATAATGATGCGATGACACACAGTGGTACTCATTGAAGCGACCTCGAGCACTCATTAAAGTCGCCCACTATCGCTGCCTCTTTGTTCTTTCTCCCTCCGTTCCTGTCTCCGAGAAATTTCAAGCTTTGCAGCATTCACCCCGTATTGAAACCTGTTGCTACTGTCTCCGACAGGAAACTAATCGATTTTAATTATTCGCTTATAATACCATTCTGCATTAAAACATTTATATAATTGCGAGTACTATTGACAACTACAATTGAGATACCGCAACTTTTGTCTTTATTATTTATTGAATAGTTAAATAAGATCGCCAGGAATATTAAAAATTTTCAAAGTACTCGAACAGTCGAGGGTCTATCGAGACGAGATGAGGCGAAGAATTATTGGACGTGGAATAATATCGCGCACGGAAATGCATGCGTAGATAGAGAGCGAGAGCCTACAATCGAATCTTTGATTTCCTCGCCCCGTACCCCTGCTTAACGTTTCTCGTTTCGTCAAACACCGTATTCATGGTTTGCCCTCGCGATACCAGCCGAGTTCTTCGGAACTTCGATTTACACAGTACAAAAAACTTCGAAAAACTACAAAGCTAAGTCCTGTACTTTCCATATCCGCTAAGATAGGGCGAAAAGAACGCACGTCCCATTTTGTTACGAGTGCGAAGTCGTCATCGGCTAAAGAGGATTATTGGACGTACGGCTGTTAGAGATTCCGCTGGACGCATGGTAGTTTCTGCCACGCATCTTGTGCACGAAACGTGCACACGTTTTTTTCAGACCATCGTTTTCTCGATGTTCGACTCGTCGCGCCGCGCCGGCTCGAACGCGCTGAATGAAAAAACGATTACTGGGATGGGAAGAACAGCGAGCGAGCAAATGTAGCAAAATGCAATGCGATAATACTGAAATAGGAATTCGTCGAGTAACACGAAATCGTCGGGCCAGAGAAAGAGATCCTGAGATCGACTCAAGAAAAGAGTGAAGAAAAAAGGGAAACAAGGGAGAGGGGAGTACCACCAATTAACGCTAATTTCTGTTAATGTCGGCTCCCTCTGGGTGTTCGTGAAATAGCTCATCAACTTATTAGGCTGCGATGCGAAAATTATGGGTGGATGACAGAAGAAATTCTGGGAAGCAAACGAGACAAAAACTCGATCCCCCTTTACGTTCAAAACGATATTTAACAAAAATCGTTACCGCTCGAGGTTCACGCATTTCTTGTTAAAAATTCGCAGAGCCCCGAGAACTGTGGCCTCTGTTCTGCCTCGGGACTGAAAACTATTCTATTTTAAGAACCAGCGAGTTTCGAATCGAGATCCAGATAATTTACGATTTTTTTTCACGGCTACAACTTTCGATACAGAAATATTACGTCAGGATTAAGTCGAATAGGATGAGCCACGATAAAACTACAAAGAAATTTATAGTCAAATTAGAGAAAGAGTGAACGAAAGTTTGATCTCGTTCATATTCGGACTTTCTTCGACCCATGTACTCTCCACGTTTTATACTATCGTTGGAGCGGGGTCAAGAAGTCTCCGAAGATAAAACCGAGCACGCGTTTCGTGCTATTACATTTTCAGAATAACGAGATGTCTTCTCGAATTACAAACGCGACCTCCCGTCGTAATCTGTTAATAGCAAGATCTATCATCATTCCAGCTCATTATCGTTCGAACCGGTTTTCACGATTTATTCAGACTTTCGTCGCTTCGGTAATTGACCTGCGTGTAATCATGTCAATTCTCCCTGTCTTATCGTTTCTTCTCAATACTTATATCTCTTAATAAGTGTCAGGTTAGAATGTTAGAACGATACTTTGCGGCGTCATTACGTATGCGGTCGCATGTGATCTCGTTTCTCGGGTGTTGTAAACTGACTACGGAAAACATTATCGGGATCAACGAAGTCACATCAATTCTTAGACTCAGACAAAGAAGAAAGGGCTAGAGTTAGAAAAGGATCGTACTGTTCAAATTCTTAACATACATTAAACAATCGATTGAAGATAAATTGTTCTCGATCAATGTTTGTACGAATTTTTGTTACATTAAAGAACATGTCTCGCGAAATGCTTATCGGGAATGACTGTAATCGTCGATTTTGTTTGTGTAGTTATATTTAGGAAGGAAATAAGAATAAACTATCTCTTACATATGCATATCTAACGCGTACAAACAATCCGCACGCATGACGCCGAATGATTTTCCACGCGGCCACGTGAACGATTTTGATGAAACTACAAATATTGATAAATCACACTTGTAGTTATTACGAACGGAGAATGTAATATTGTTCGGACCGCGATTGACGGATAATTAATATGTTTTACTAGACTGGATACGATGTTCCAAGAAATCGTTTCTGGCTTGACTGAACAATCGGAGGAAATCTCATGACCTTTAACTTCTATGTGACACTATTAGCCATTGATGTGTTCTTCCGCACTAATGTAACTTGGTATGCTTGATTCTTCGGAATCACAAGTCGTTCGTTTCGATCTTCGAAAGAGCCCGAACCTTATAGTCGACACAATCACACTTGCCATAACAGATGCCGAGGGGATTACCATATAATACAAGGTCCGATCGGTCAACAGAAAACTGACGATGACGAGAGAAATACGTATACACGGCGATCACAAGAAACGTAATCTCGATGGATTGAAATACGAACCGTCACTAGGAAAGAATGAGTTTTATCATACTCACGGGACGCATATAGAAAAATACATTTTGTTTCAACCGTTTCTTTTTCACGTGCTCGCTTTGCGCCCGTGCAAAAATCCTTGCCGTAACAACTCCTCGATTAACCATTCTTTTCAATTGAACAAACTGCGACTCGTTCAACTCGATAAAGACAATTTTGAACATTCGTAAGAATCTAACGCATCTAATATGATAAATGAGCGAGGCCGATCCGAGACAATTGAACGATCGCGATCGGGTTCATGGCAAACATTCAGCTTCTTCTCGCACGATTTGTTTGTTACCACGAGAAACTTTGTTTAGGAAAAGTAAAAAACGCGCGCGCGCGCGCGCGTGATCGGGAGGGAGACACACGCGCCGCGACTGCAGACTGACGACTGTGCGATAAACTGTTCTTGATTGACTTAATATAGTCGGACGAGCGCTGTAATTGGCCGCTCCTTGCCGCGCGGGAAATGATTGGTCAATTTAATCCTAGAAGCACGGTGCATTAAGCATTCAACCAGCGTTCAGTACCTATTAACGGTTCGCAAGAGAGGCACTGCCACTGCCACCGCCATCGTTTTCTGCGCTGTGCGATGGTACACCCAGTCACGGTGGTGGTGTACATGCTCTTTCTTTATCATCTTCTGCATACTATGGACCTCTCACCGCCTAACCCCGTCTTTCTCCCTCTTTTTTCTCTCTCGTCATCGTTCCAAATCAATTTATCAATTGAAATCAGTGCCGGACAGTGAAGAATCGCGTCACTCAATGGTCTGCCAACCGACGACAGGCAATATGCGTCTCCCCTGCCTTCCACTGCTTGTTATCAAACCATTCACCGGCTTACCGAATCCTCCGCTAGATTCTCTCTATGACAGTGCTTTTCAACCTTCATTCACCGATCGAATTACCGAGATGCCATTCGCAATCGTCGTCGAACGGAAACGCGAATCTACCGTGGAAATGCATGCAACGCGAGAATCATAAAATAAAACAATGCTCGACGTTCTGTCAAATAGGAAGAATACGTGTTTCAGATTCAATTCTTAATTGCATGTATTGTAAATTATTATTATGACATATCTACTTCTGCCTTGATTTGTTGCATTTTCAAAATGACTACGTGACTCATAGAACATACTTTCACTACTGCGTATAATAAAATATATTTAATAATATTATTAAAATAGAAAAATAATGATCAGCATAAAGTATAAATTATGATTGAAATACGATATTTCATATTTATTAATACGATGAAATAATTATACAGCTTGTAATAGATCTTCATTGACGTCGGTTCTATTGGCTGCAACGTACTTTTCCAATTTGGTGCGGTGATATTTAGCGCGAATTAGTGCACTCGATTTTTAGACAGATTTTACAATTAAAGTGATTCTGCGTGTTGAATTATACTATCAAAAGATGTATTAGTGGTTCTTTTAACAACTGTGCCATTGTTGGATGCTTGGGAATAATTATAAGCAATAAAAAGTCTATTGGTGTCTACGAGGGTTGCCGCGAACAATCTTCCTGAAACATAACCATCTTCGAATGCTAATTCAACTTATCGTAAGTAACGAACTTTTTGGCAATTCAATTATACTTACTTATATTCTGCGAACATCGATGTTTGATATGAATTACTGTGAATCCGTGGAGGTTATTGCACCTCTGTCTGAAAAGTAATCGCGCCGAGGTGATTTTGTATGCCATCACCTACGGCACTACTACTTAGCAGAAAGATTAGCGAATTAAAGTGGGCTGGCAGCTTTTCTTTGGTTCTTCTGTGCTCGGCAATTGCGGGCTGACTGCGTTAGATGAAATGCAGGCCCAAATATATACGCGAGGATGGGACTAAAGTCCAAATTTTCCTTTGGCTGAGGATTTTTCTTATCGCGTTGTACGTCTATTTTCTCTCGACCTCAGATTTAAGTTACGAGAATGCATGTTATTTATTGTATTTATTGTTATGCATTGTCTCGTTATCGAGAATGGTAACAGTTGGTTTTTCAGTATAATGATTCACGTGTTGAGAAGATAGTTTAATTTGCGAACATAGCAACGAGCGTGATAGTTTTCCGCCCATTGTTACGGTCACAAATCGAAATATCTTCATTTCTTTTGTTCTATTTCAGAAGGACAACAATTGCGTATTTTGTATTTCTCTTGCATGCCTGTATGTAATTTAACATTTGGAATGTTATTGGAAATGCTTTACGCATGGATATCTCAGTCCAAATAGTTGTAATCACCGTGTGAATCATCGGTGGTAAAAGTTTTCAGTGCCTCTATTGACAATTATGTTCGGACATCGTGTTGTTAGAGCAAATAATAATAATTGGTCGAAGATCCACGAGTAGGTCCGCCCGTGCAAATTGACAAAGAATGACGGTAGTCATGCAGGGTTTAATGGAGGAAAAGGACAGCTCACTGATTAATGCGTGCACGCGGTGTGCCCCTATGCGCTCTTCTGCACGATGACCGTCAGCTTGCACTTTGGAATAGTTTGGTCATTCCGTGATAATCGTTCGCCCCTGCGTGAATAGATCCACGCACGATTTTCTCATGCGGGTCCATTTTACTGATTTAAACTAACGTTAGCACGCAACGTACCTTTTATTAGGATACAATCCCTATTACGTGATCTTTTCTTCCGTTCAATTGTTCATCGATTAAGCGACTCTCGAGCTATGTATTTAAATAAAACGTGGACCGTTCCAGTGGCTTTTCATCAAATTTCCAAGTTCATGGTCTTAGAATGCAAATTAATTCTGCATTAGTAATCGTCTAGATTTTGTACGGATCAATATTGTCAGTCGATATCTTTTGATAAATTTATCGCATATGTTAATTACCCGATTACGTCGATATTCTTTTTTTGATAAGATCTGTGGATATGTTTTCGGAAAACACTTACCATTTTCGAAGATCTTCATTCTAGCTTATTTTTCTAAAACGCGTTATTTTATTACTCGAAACTAGCACCCATAGGACAGTTTTCTTATTCAATACCTATATGTCGACGGTTTAACTTGGAATGAGCATGCCATCGTAACGTATAAAAGAGACACGTGCACAGGTGTTTTTTGAGATCATGTGTGTCACATATGTTTCGGTAACGATGTCGCGTTTCTCTGTTTACAAAACAGCGTGTATTTCACTCAAGTCGAAATTTTCGAAATTCCTGTATAATGTGTAACGACGACAGGATTCAATTATACGTCTTAATTCCTTGTTACATTATAAACATCAACTGCAATGGTAATAATGTTTAAATCTGAAATATCTTGCCAGACGTTCACGGGGAAATTAGATTCGGCGATAAGCCTGAGTGAAATTCAGTAAATTTTCCCTGGATTTCCAGGGAAATTCATGATTGAACGAGGGAATGGGCCCGGCCGACCAATTTAGAAGAGTTTATTAAATTGGGTAGAATGCTGTGCGTAGGCCTACGCCGGATACTCGGAGAATGAATCTCATCCAACGAGAGGAAGTTCGAATTAACTCGAGCCACTGCCAAGGGGGTACGGCAGAACCCCATATACCATAAACTCTTGTCCCATTTATTCTTTGCACATTTATGTGTCACGTACGCGTAGATCGATCGATGGAAACCGAAAAATTCTTAGTACGTTGCCGTTAATTCGAATTAAGTCGAAAGAGGATAATAAAGGATCAATAGAATTTACGTAATAATAAAGTTCAAGAGTGCAGAATGTAACAGAGAATTAAGACTTATTAGAATCATTTGACCCTGCTTCTTATAGAGTACATACTAAGACTTTGATGAGTTTATTTTATCCCGGGTTGGTGGGGCGGGATACAGGAAAAGAGAAGCTAGATAGTATCACACGTCGAGCCGATGGAGGAGAAAAGATACGAACGTATCTCGTGCATCGTGTTACTTGAATTGTAGCACTTTGACACAATCGTACTCTGTAGTGTTTGATCTGCGTGGGCGCTCATGCGAAACGAATAATTACTCAGAGAGTAATATCATTATTTCGAGATTTATCATAAAATTTATTTCACCGTAAAATGTACAAGAATATACAAGATATCGGAGACTTTATTTATATTTATACTAATTTTTACAAATGATAATACGTAAAGGAATGTATAATGCTTCATCCTCGTTCGCAAATAATATCAACCACGCTCGGTTCCATTAAAACCGGTTCCAAACATCTGTGTACAGCACTCCCAAGTATCTCGTCCAATAGAAAATGAACAACACTGAAAACAAACTTTCATGTACAATTATCTTTGGTCTAAACGATATTACTCACTTTTCGTCCGAAACGAATCTCCACAAATAGAGTTGTAAATAATGAGTGTCCACTTGTATTTGCTGGAGTCCGTATTTACTGAACGTTCGTAATCTGACACATTCTAGGAAAGTCTGTAGACAAAGAGAGAATCTTTATCATAAATTTTTAAACTGGCCGAATAGTATCGAACGTATAAAGTATATTGCGTAGTATGCGAGAGAACAAGGTATCCTCGCTTGGCAAAGTGAATAATGGCTGTGCTATTTTGTCATTCATTGTAACTGGTCGACAGCACCTGTTTTTATCGCGGTACCGTGCCTGCTAAAAGTATCATACCTTCAAACTTATCTTGATGATCCCCGTAAGAATCGAAGCTTTATTGAATTGTACCGACGAGAAGATTTCGATACGTTCTGAAAATAACTTATGGATATTCGTCACTAACGACGAGTCCATGTGACTAGGCGTGTACGAAGACCAACTAGATCTGTAGTGATGCCTCGATACACTCACACTAAAAAATAGTCAATTTAGTTGCACGTTGTTTGGAAGCAATTTAAAAAATGTTTTACCTATGAGTTTTCCTACTGCTGTCGCTGCTCCTGTCGACTTGACCGTCGGAGTCGTCATACAATGCAGCGACTTGAGTATCGATTAACGTAACATCTTCTACGACCCTTTTCATTACTGCTCTAACTGTCCTTGGTTCGATCGTGTGTAACCAGTCCCTCGTTTCAACCGATTTTCTTAACATCTGTGACACCGCTAAGCCTTGAATGCGAACGTAATGGTTTAATAAGTTTTGAGCTGCTTCTTGGAACTTGTCGCATATCTCCAACTCGGTAGTGATTACGTTCTCAGACGATGTGTATTGATCAATATTGAACAGATCATCCATGGTATTAAGCTGTAATTAAAAAAACGAACAATGGCATTTCTCTATGATCGAGCGCCTTAGCGTTGATTTGATAATTATTCATTATACCAAATATTTAACATTAGTGTCTTTGAACTCGATACACATTTTACTCAATAAGAGCAAAAGAGTAGGTGGGAATTTTGGAGCATCGGATCCAGTACAAAATCCGCTCGCAGTGACCACTAGATAATGTAAAAATCCAACAACTAGGCCTTCTCTAACTTCGTCCACGCAAAAGTTTTGGAGGAATTGCGTTTTTAAGCTAAAAGATAAATCTGGTTGTAAAAACACCTGAAAATTGAAGATACATTTTTAAAAACAACGCCATTGAACAATTGTGATCACGAAAGTAGAAAACGAACCAGTAAATCCTGTAGAACACCTTTAACTTTTTCAATAGTAGGCATTATAAGCAACGATTGAAGTTCTGCCAAGCTACCATCTCCTTCCTGAGAAACTTTCGTTGTTAATATTTGCTTAACTTTACCAAGCGTTTCGTTCAAATGAGATTTCAAACTTTCTAAATGATTACGACATTGTTTTCTGCCAGCATTGATTACGATATCTGTACCTATTCTGAGAAGTAACAATAGATATTTTAATATATATTTCACATTCGATCTTTTGCCAAGTTACCTGGCGAAGTCTGCTTCTCTGCAGAGCATATTCATAGCTTGCAATTTTCTATGGAATTTATCGAGCGCTCTAACTAAGACAGCCGTGTCCGCTACGTTCTCTACTCGTTTCCCAATTATATCGAAATATTTTTTCATGTTCTTCATGATGAAACTGTTTAAACGTACTAAGGCTTTCGTATCGAAATCGTCAGCGAATTCGTTATCTTCCGATGGCAGTCGGTTTATGAACATATCGTTGTAGGATGCGACTATCAGACACAAATCGCTAAGAAATCCCGAACTAGCCATGTCGACAAATTCGGTGATGTCGTTTTCATACATATCCTTTAGAACATTCAATTGCTCGTTTAGCCTTTCATTCGCATGCGTTAGGAATTCAGCACACAGAGAATCAGCTGGTTCTTTTAACTGTAATAGAAGATCTACGTTTTCAGCTAAAGATTTAGTAGACGCATCTCTTTTATGAAACTGCATCCTGAGCCTCGATTTTAATTCTTCTACGATATCTTCGCAGTCTTTCTGTATTCCTTGAAATGACGGCATATTGCCATACTGATTTAATACACGTTGCGCATGTATGTAATCTTGTACTGCCTAAAGGAACATATTTCTATTTAGCATACTGAAAGGTATTCTATTACTCGGTCTCGACAAACCTGTGCATAATTCTCTTCGTTCATTTTGTCTTTCAAATTGCCAGGCAGCTTAAATAGAAACTGTAACTTCTTTAATAAAGCATGGACAGAGGACAGCTTGGCAATTTGTTGTCTGGTGCCGTGTAACGTTGATGAAATCTGTTCTGAAAATGAAGTGATGCTATCCATGTTTTTCGCTAATAAATCCATACTTTCTTCCATTTCTTTGAAATCAGTTTTCATCTAAATAATAAATGGGCTTTTTAAACTTGTTTTAAATGTATTATTCAAAGTTTCCAAGTGAATTTACCTTTCTGATAGTATCTGTGGCAGATATAAATTTATTATAATTTTCATACACTAAAGTCTGCATATCTGAATGCAGTATCTGTGTATTTTTTATAATATCTGCTTCATGGTCCATAATTTGTTTTAACGTACATTCCTGTGTAAAGAAAATAATAAATCTTGTACTGTGAAATTTGAAAAAATATGTAAATTTGAGAATTTACTTACTTTTAATAATTTTTGAAAATACATGTCGGGATTAAAATGTTGTCCATTAATATCATACGGATTGTTCGAGTTCTCAGCGATTTTATCCATTTTTTAGTAAGGAAAGAAATGATTTGACAGTAGATCTTTCGGTTAGGTTAGTCAGTGCCTTGCCAAGTTACAGATGGTATATTTTAGTTTATAGAAAGCTAGGTAAAGACGCTGTGACAAGCAGCATAACCTTTTGCAAGGTGCACGAAAAGCGCAACAAGTGCAATAACAAGAGTGTAATTTAAATATTTCCTTGCAATTGGAATGTGCTCGAGAGTAAATTACGGGATATTGCGATCGTCTTGCTACTATTGCGCTTCGTGGGAACGTGTAATATTTGGAGTACATGTAGAGTCAAACAAATAATGAAGGGGTTATTGTATCTTATCACGGAGTTTTATTGTTCGAATATCGTCAAATTACACCATGTACAAAAAGATTATGAGAAAATAATTTAATTGGTAACTGTGACAGCTACGACAGTAGAAAACTTTTGACTTAGTTGTACTCAGTTTTTCTGAGAACTGTGCGAGAAGATGATATTGTCTATTTGACGAAACTGCACGGATAGAGAGTAATATTACAAAATGCCACATCCGTGCATCGTATGCGGTCGTTCGCGTATGAATCCAAGCAACAAGGAAGAGGAGTACACATTCTTTGGATTTCCTGTAAACGACGAAGATCGATGTAAGAAGTGGCTGGAATTTTGTTGCCGCGAAGATCTGTATAAATTGACAAAGAAACAGCTGCTCCAACGAATGGTCTGTTCGAAACACTTTGAACAAGGCGATTTCATAAGCGATCATCTGTCATATCAAGATAAATTAAGTTGTATCGCAGTACCCTCAATCTATGATCCTAAGCAAAGTTTATACAACATAACCTGTGTAGTATGCGGCCGATCCCGTCGAGATCCACCAGGTGCAGATTACGATGGAGCAACCTTTCACCATTTCCCTGGCGAAGAATTCAGATGTCTGAAGTGGCTCGATTTCGTCGGAGTAGATTCATACTATAGATTGACAAGGAAAGAAATTTTGTTCTGTTACATTTGTTCAAAACATTTTGACCGGTCTCAGTTCATGACTGGTTACAAGAACAGATTAGTAGATAATGCTATCCCTACTATTAGAAATCCCGATGTACTAGATGGATCTGAACAATATGTTACGGAATATGTATCTGAACCCAAGGGTACCTCCTCTGAGGAAACAAAAAGTCCTCTATCACTATCTGTTTTAGACAGTCAGGCATGTGCTGCTTGCGGTAGATCAAGATCTGATCCAAGAAATAAAATTGAAAAATATAAGTTCCATCCCTTTCCTGCATATGAGATCGGCAGATGTCTAAGATGGTGTCACTTTCTGGACAGAGAGGATATATTGAAGATGTCTCCAAATCAAATAAGAAAGTTAGTGCTTTGTTCAAAGCATTTTGAAACTGGGCAGGACTTTAATAAGGTAGGACCTTGTGATGCAGTACCAACTATAAAAGATGTGTCACAAGTAAACACAGTCAATTCAGAAGAAAATGTGAATGATGATCAACAACCATTGGAAGAATCGAACTGTACCAATGGAGCTAAGGGAAATAAGAGGCAAGGTGTTTCAAGACCTTTAGTATCTAGTAAAAAACCAAAGGTAGATAACAAGCCTACGCCTCTAGCGAAGAAACGTGGGAAATCCAGGAGGCCAATCCATATTAACATTCCAAGGCCTGACCCTAATAATCTCGAGAATCGTATGGTAAAGAAACTACCACTTCCTCCTAATTCCAATTGGAAGATTCAAATCGCGGATCAACTTCAACCTATAACAATTGCAAACCCCATTACATCGAATTCTATTGCATCAAATATTACTAATGTGCAAGGGAACATAAAGAAAGTGATTCTACCATTTGCCACTGACATATCAAATTTAGGTGCCCCTATCCCAGTGCATAGTTTGTCTAGCATTCCACCGGGTTTACTAATTAAAATAGACCTTCCTGAGCAAGAGCAACAAGCTAAAACGATTACAAGACTAAATAAAACAAAAATTGCGCACGCTCCTACTACTTCGAATGAAGTCGATCAACCACAGCAGGTGTGGTTGAAGAATGGCGAGACGCTAGAAACAATATCACTCCTAAATCATCGTAAACAAGAGACTGATAAGAATTTAGTCGAATTTTTGTCATCTTCTTTGGACGACAGTGGAGATCAAATGACTACCGACGAATTGGAAGGAAACGAAGAAAGTATATTGCCACATGCCTTGGAAGTGTTAGACGAAGAAGTAGAGAATGTGAAGGAAGCACTTTACGAGGACTTCGAAGAAGTTGAATGTTTGCCACCGAAACCGCAGAAACCCGTGAAACGTAAAAAGATCTCAGCAATGATGAGAAGAACAATATTTCCTATTAGAAATGAAGTAAAATATTTTTTACGGAAATTAGCTCCGCACATGCACAGACTACCCAGACGAACCAGAGCACAGATAAAACTTTCGATCGTCAACATGGTAATTGATCATTTGTAAATTTATTGGATAATTATAGTATGTATTTTTAAGGGTATACAATTAAATATAAAAACTTTAAACTTGAGTGCACATTACAGTTACTTATACATTACAAGAGACCAGATATATACTCTTCGAACAGTGATAATTAAGATATATTATTTTTACTACATATTTATAATATGATGGTGATAGGCATGATAATAATAGGTTGATAATGAATACGAAAAAGTTCTGTAGAGTACAAATGATGTTTGTAGTACATTCTTTAAACATTTTTAACTATAATTTGCTTCTATTATTGTTGAAATGTACTATTTTAAATAAAGAGATATTGCACTGTTGTGAAGGCTTATAAAGCTTGACGACTTGGTTTGAAAATTGACAGAACAATTAATGTTATATTTGAAATTTTTAAGACGAGGGTGACACAAATTTAAATAATATATAATTCGTGTGGACATACCTTGTATTTACTTGCATGTATATATGATGTACATGTATAATTGTATAGATAGAGACTGCGAAGTAAAACGTGTAAAGAGTTTTGTTGCGCAATAAAATTTCCTGTAAAAATACTATAAGCCCGTAGAATCTTAAAGTTTCTTATATATGTATTTCAATGGAATCATATTTGCTACGACAGGTATCCATATCTTGTTAACATTGCTGGCAGTAATATTTAATTCTTCTGTACGATGAACAAGCACTGGTTTTGTAACGTCTCGACGCAAAGTCAAATCTTCTTTTATCCAGAGAACTTTTGCCGATGCAATTGGCTCTAAGAGATATTAATGAAATCAACATAGTTGATTTTCTTTTTAGACTAATTAATACTTTTGCTCACCTACATTTATCTTAGGTATTTTATAATGTTGCGTACCAATACCATAAAACGTGAATTGATCGACTACGTTCTGGTATTCTGGACATTGGCATAAAATGCCAAGTGGATGTTCTACACAATTATCAAATTTAGAATACATTTTTCCACGAACAGATTTTTCCACGAAATAGATATTGATGTAAAAATATTGAAATTGGAAATGTCTGAATTGAGCAGCGAACGTCTGATGTGTAGTAATCATTTATTACATTAATACGAAGGGTGTGAACAGAAAATGCAGGAAATGATAACAATCAAAATCATTGTTTGTATATAATACATATTAATACAAGGGCTTTGTAATTAAATTAATTAATATATATTTCAACGTAATACACTTAAGAAGCCAGCTTCTCTGTACTTATGACTTTCCCGTATAGTTAAATTATACTGATATTCTACATCACATACAGATTATAAAAGCTGGATATAAAAACTGTGTAGATAAAATAAAACTTGTTATTTTTCCTCTTTACTTATCTTTTTTTTTGTTGTTGTTCAATATAAAAGCGTTAATCGAACATTGTCGAGAAATGTTAACTATTATGCTAGGCGTTTGTTTCACTGTGTTTGTACCTTATGCACGTCACATATAAGTATATATGTTCATGCTTGATAAGTGCAAGCTGATTCTAAAGTCGATGCAGATGAATTATGTACAATTATTAGACCTAACTACGAAGACTTTGTAGTCTCATTTTCATCTCTTCAAGTTCCTTATCATCTACTTCATCGCCCTCTTCCTCCACAGATGTGGACGCTACAACCGAGCCAGGTGTTTCGGTAACAACTGCAGGTGCTGTGCCCAATTGGCCTGCAGTGACTTCCCACAAAATCTATAATTGGAAACAATAGGATTGTATACAAATTTTCTACTGCACATCTTCTGAAGCCGATTCGATAACATACTTTATCAACTTCTTCGTCAGCCTCATCCTCAACATCCTCAGAATCCTCCACGGATTCCATAGTTTCGTCTAACATTTCTTCAATGATACCAGCTTTCATCATTTCCTTAGACAATTCTCTCATGGTCGCTGCCACTTCTGGCACCTTCACCAACGATTGCATTGCCTGCATCACTTCTGTGGATTTTGAGACAGAACCAGCGACCCTGATCGTGGCCAATTGGTTTTTCATTTGCAATGAAACGGAGTTCATGTGTGCCTTTGATGTGTACAACTTGTTGCAAGTTTTACGTGCGCGTATTATTTCCTTCGCCAGAATCTTACAGACATCCTTGTCACCCTTCTTCGCCGCATCTTTCAGGGAACGTTTTATCTTTTCCTCTTCCCGTTGAATCGCTGCACATATTATTATTCCCGTTTCTTCGTGCTCTTCGAAACATTGTTTATTAGTAGACTGCGGATTTCCATGCAAACCATTTATGGTGTAAATTAAAATAAAATGCGACTTAATATTTTATTTATTTTCGTAAACTACATCCAGTCTTTGGATCTTTCTATAAACGCATAAAATCCGCAGTCTACTTACTAGCTTACCTCTAACCTGTCTATCCAATTGATAACCCTCTTTCCTTAACTTGTGAGTCCATTCTTGAACCTGAAATACGATTCCGTGTAAACAGCGAACAGATATTAGAGCTCATTTCGAATCTAACCATGTCTTTTGGATTTTTTTCCTGGGATTTGCCAAACAAGCCCATCTCCGCGCTATGTTGACAGACGTTCGTAGCTGCCAAGCATAACCATACTACACTTACAGTGACTGACACACACTACGGTAGTGTCACTACCTACCTATTTCGTGTCACGGACTATTCGTGCTCGCGTTACGTCAGCTGTATGAATCACCGATCTCCTTGCCCGATAAAAAAGTCGATAAAAGATATGAAGAATCGGAAATAACAATGGAATAGGTGGTTATAATCTATTGAGGCTTCCGTATATATATTTTTATTTACCTTAATGATACATAAGAAAATGAACGCAGAAACGTATAAAAAAAGTATTAAAATACAGTAGATTATGTTAGAAAAAAACAATTATAAAGTTTATCTTATCTAGTTGTACTCAGGACCATATCTCTCAGCCAGTTTAACATATTTTTTATTATCTCCACCCGTTTATTCACGTTATCGTTAGTATTTCGTTGATACCTTTCGATCATTTTATCTTCGTACGGTTCGTTGTTCCTTCTCCTGTGCTTCGCCACAGGCTTGAAGTTTTCGGAAATCGCGTCGACGGAGAACAGATCGTCGGCCGCTTCGATTCCATATGTATTTTTCAAATTTCTCTCTTGTCTCTCGTCGATCTTCTCGTCCAAGTTCCACGGCGTTTGCACTTTTTCCAAGTTCAGAGAGAGATTGTATCTCCTGGCAAAAGTTTCCACGGGCATCGAGACGATCTGTATGCTGTCGTCAGCCGAGTCGTACTCGCTCGACGAAACTGATTCCCGTTTGGAAATTCTCCTGGTCCCATCAGCATTTCCCGAACTTCTCCTTATAGTCCGAACGATGTTTCCCTTGACAGGCACGCAACAGGGGCACTCCTTGTTCAATAGGTGCTCGCAAATCTTCCTGGAGATCGATAGAGCGTACGAGCCATCCGTCAATTTTCTTATTTCCAGTGGCAGCTTCACACCGTCCCCGATGTAGAACAATTCGGAATTTACAAGGCTGTGCACGTCATCCGTCTGCCCATCATTTTTTATAGAAATTTTCCCCAAGTACGTATAGTCTTGCGAGGAATCGTCGTCGTCCGTGGTTGATTGCGTGCTTTCGACTACATATGGATCTGCCCCTCCTGACTGACCGATTATAGGACTGTATCCTACGAATGGATTCCCTACCTGTTGGACCGGAGGCTGGAGTTGGTCCCTCGTACCTGCGCCAAAGTTTGGAATCGAATAATATTTGGGCACTTCTGGAAAATCTTCTGCCCTCAACGTTATCGTCTCCAATCCTAAAGGTACGGAATTTCTTCCAATTCCTAGAACATGATCATTGAAATTTGGTTGAGTCGTTACTGGTTCATTGTTATCCAAGCCTGCCTCGCTTCTAGCTATGTCCAAGAATTTATTCACGTCCATATGAGATACATCGAACGTGGTAGACTCGGCTCCTTCCAACGTCGGGGTTTCTTCATTTCCAATTTTTTCTAACTCATCGTTCAAAGTGCTGCGGATAATCGAATCATCGAAAGCATTATTACTCGGTGGTTTGAAGGTATGTCGAATGCTTTCAAGGATCATGTTCCGAACTGCGGGGTTCCTCGCTGCTTGCAAGCCGACAGCTGGATGCCGTAGAAGGCTCTTAACCTGAGCCTGCAATCTTTCCAAATCCGTAGGAACACGGTCCTCGTCGAGGGGCTCTAAAGTGACCGCATTCGTTACCCATTTACCGTCTCTGAATTGATGCTCGTCGATGGTCGCCGGATGTTCTGACTCGGAGTGAGGCGCAGCGGACATTATGTTACGCAGATTATTCTTAATAACGTCGGTGGCCCAATTCGTGTCGAAATTCTTCTTAGGCAATCCGGTCGTTCTCGATAAGAAGATTTTCACTTTGTCCAAAACCGTGCGCTCTATGGTTGGCAAGGATAAAATACTCTTCAAGTTGGGAACTTCTACAATTTCCGGTAGTAAATCATCACCCTTCGAGGAACCCACTGTTTCTCCCGGCACCAAATCGTCGGCGAAGTTATTAATTACCGACTTTATTGACTTCTGTAGCAAAGTGTTGTCACAAAAAGGCAAGCTCGTATCCGTCACCCTTTCCGCATTGTCGATCCCAGATAATTCTGGAGCATTGCCTTCGTTTTCATACGGAATCGTCACTTGCTCGGCCCCGACTATATCCTTATCTGTATTCATAAAGTATTCATTGCCAATTGTTGTATAATCGTTTTCCAAGGGTTGTATTGTTTCGTGCGGCGAGGGAGCAATTTTTTCATCGAGTTTATCAGATCCTGAATTAGCGTAATCGTTCCCTAATGGACCAGTATTATCCGTTTCCGGTGGTTCTGTCATATAATCTTCGGAATTCGATTCCTCGTTATTATTCATTCGCGATGTATCAAGTTCTTCTGGCTCTTCAGGGATCAATGCGGTTGGCTGCTCAATAGGAGTAAATTCTGTGATCCCGTAATTGTTTCCAGTTTTAGATTGCACGTTCGGTTGTCCTTCGTTCCACTGTGGGTTGCTTTCTTCCAACATGGTTCCACCTTCGGGTCTCAAAGCAGTTTCAGATGGATTATTCAATGGTAAATTGACATCACCGTCCTCTTCAGAATTTATGTTCATACGACCAGGGCTGCTTATGTGAAAATTCTCGGCTGTCGACGTGAAGTATGCGGATGTAACTTCTTTAATGTCTGAATAATCCAAAGTTCCACTGCCAGGCGCTTCGTATTCGTTTCCCAATCCTGTCGACGGCTGTTCCATGTTTGGATTAATAGCTTGGACGTTAGGCACTTCCGGTATCGAAGGATCTTCATTGGCACCTGAGTAGTTGGTATTCTCATCGTTACTGGTTGGAATATTTTCTTCTACGTTTGAAGAACTTGTTTCCTGAGATTGTGCAAGGTCTGTATTTAAAGGCCGGAGACCTTGTCCAGTCTGCTGATTTCTGTTTAAATTTGATTGATCAATCGGTGTTTGTTGCCCACTCACTGAATCGGGTCTATTGCCAATCGGATGTATCGGAATATTATTTTTATTGAGAATTTCCTTTCCGTTCGGTTTCGCACCGAATCGAGGATTCGCCCGATTAAAATGCGGAATCTGATGAGGCAATGTTCCATGTCTGTGCGAAACGGGATACAGTTTATGATGTGGATAACTAGGAACGTTTGGATTCGTAGGTGACTTGTGTGGTAAGTGCGGTAAGTGTGGGTGATGCGGAATATGATGTCTGCTACCTACGTCTTCGGGTTTCTTATCAAATTTATTTCTCGACGGTTGTGGGCTTGGGACGTAATCCCGATCAGCGTTTTTTTTATTATTTTTCTCCGTGCAGTAACAAATGAAATCATCGTTCTCGATTTTACTCGTTCTTCCTGATCCCGAGCTCTGACGAGCAGAGCCAACTTTTGGATCTTTAGGCATCAACTGATCTCGAAGAGAATTTATGATGTCTTCATCGCGGAACGTAGCGTTCTTCGCCTTCTCCCTGATTTCTGCTAACGACAATGGTTTCGGAGCAGGTTGCTTTAATTGCGGATTTGGTTTCTGGCCAAGGAAATATTCCGGAGGGCTTTCATTATTTTTGTAGGATTTTAACACGGATCCTACTTTCTCTCTACGCGACGATGTCTTGCATCGTTTTGTCTTTTGACTTTTACATAGGTCTCCGTCTTCCTCGGTCGACGGCACTAGAATCATTAAGCTTCGTTTAACTCCCGATTCAGGTTCGTCTTGAGACGTCGCGATGCCTGACGAAGCTGTGCTAATGCTGAAAAAAATATTTATTATTTTTCAATTGAGTTAAACAGTTTTTAATTATACAATTTAAATTTTGTCTTTCAGATGCGATTTTCGAGGCATTGAACGGTTCCACTAGACTAGACGACGAGTGACTATTAGGTGAGTAAATAATTTGAAATTCTCTAGGGGATGTCGCCGCATTTCCTGATTTATTCTACGATTCGTATAAATAACGGGAACCGATTCCTTGGAAATTCGGAATCCTATCTGGGCAAACGGGTCGAAATATAATTTAAGCTGACGCTAACAGTTGCACCAGCGTCGCACTTGGTCGACTAACATACTTTCGCGTCTGCCATCCAGCCTATGTAATCCGGAATTCGTCCAAGGAGTCGGTTTGAAAAATCGAAAGAATGCTCGGATGTACTCGGTGGAAAGCTAGATAAATGGTACGGGGATAAGGAGAATTTATGAGGGAGTGCGACCGGTCGTGCACTATGTGAAAACTATTCTACAGAAAATTTGTTCAATCTTTCGCAGATATGATACATGTAATTCGTTACTGGTATCGAGACATTTTTAGCACGAGACTTGAAATATTAGTTGTCTGTATGCCGATTCTTGTACACTATAAAACATTCGTGGCGATCAAGTTGAAAAAAAAAGCATATCATATAAAAATGTTTTATGGCATCTAAAGCCTGCAACGTACACTCGCTTGATATTTTATGATTCACCGGCATTTATATTTTTGAATAAATGCATAAAATCTGCAATCTGCTGATAAGGTTCTTAGATATGAAAATCGGATTTACCTTTCGATAGAACTTCCTTCGTTATTTTCGATTCTGATGCTTTTCGAGAACGACGACGTAACAAGCGTTAAAAAAACGACGAACTTGAGAATTGAATGGTCCATGATGATCGTGAAAATCACTCGCGGCCACCGGTTTGTATCATTAACGTTTTCGTATTCGAAGCGAGCCGTACGGAAATCAGTGGGCAACTGTGCGATCTGGCCCTTCGCCGCATATATTTTCCAAAGTTTCAAACATGTTTTGATGTTTTCACATTGCAAATGTTTCTGCCAGGTAATCGTATGTTGCAACGTTGTTATTGCATCTTACAGTATGTGGGACATCAATAAATAACAAGATCGAACGTTGCGTTGCTTATACTTTTTATTATTTCACGTTGTCGCTTGTATAAACAACCGTTGCCAAATTCTCCGATAGGTCTAATGGTTTATGGAAGAGTTGTAAATCAATTCGTTTGTATATGGAATTGGGAGACTGATCTCCATATTCATTGAATATGAAACGTACGTATCCTTCAATAGTATTTATTTAGTCGAAAAATACAAAAAGTTGTGGTAAAAAATGATAGCGTATAAAAAAAGAATAACGTCATCCTCGAAGAAGATGCGTGACGCCGCTAAGTAACATGAAAAACTTTTTCACGCTCTTTATCGCTCTTTTAAAAGTATTCGGCACGGCGTCTATCGACTTGGCGGTACTCTTCGGTTGCTCTCTCTTTATAGTCTTGTTATAGTTTTCATCGAGATTCTCGATCAAGTGCTTCATCGAGCCCGTTAGATTCTCAGCTTTCTTCAAGCCGTCGACCAAAACGCTTTCCAACTTCGGTATGCTCCTCTCTATGAGAGACGGTAGCCCGTCCTCGTCCTTCTTGTTCTTCCGGACGTTCTTCTTTTTGTTGATATCGTCTTTCGCCTTAAATTTTTCAAGAGGTATTTTCTGAATCAGCGATTTCTCAACGTCGTCGATCGGATCGGTAACCGGCGTGCTCGTGCTCGAGAATTCGTCCAACTGTTGCAGCTCCCTCGGTTGCACCTGCAAAGAAGAAGACATAAATTTTTATGAAAAGGATCAAGCGAGATCCTCTCATAGCTGTCTATCTTTCGAATCTCACCTTCTCCGCGTTCCCATTCTCGCTGATCTTTTCTTGATCTTCCGCTCCTCTTCGCAGTCTGCTGTATCTCCTCGCCCACGGTAATACCATTAATACTTCGGGCTTGTTAGGAAACGGCGCTTCTTTCGAATTCGCGGTCTCGTTACTTCTTTCGCTTCCTTCTGCCCTCGAGTTATAAAGCACTTGTACGTTCGATACGTCCCCGCTCGTTTCTGATCCTCTTCCCGTGGAATCTGATTCTACGTAGTCCTCCGATAGTTCCCCATAAGGATTTCTTGTACCGACGATTGGATTCGATTCCGCGTATTCATGAATATCCTCGGATTTCATAAATAAGCCAGTTTCATCGCGTGTTTTTTCAACAGGAATCTCTTTGTTTGAAATATTAATGGAAGAGCTTTTATCCGAGGTCTCCTCTGAATTTTCCTTTAAATACAAACGATTATGAGTATCCTCTGGCAATTTAAAATATTCCTCTCCAGAACCCGTGTTCCCTCGTTTCCGAATCCGCGCTACTTCTTGCGAATCTTCGCGAACATCGTCTTGAGTTTGCGTTTCTTCCTTCGCAGAATCATTTCCATAGTTCCCAGTATCAAGCATGTCGGTAGAATTGTTTCTAAAGTTTTCTGAAAATCCCCCGACTTCTTTAGCTTCGTCAAACTGTTCCTCCGTGTTCTTCGAAATCGAACGCATCGAGTTTTGCTTTTTATCCTCAACTACGTTATATCCTGTCAATCTTCTGTAAAGTTCTTCGGCGGTTTGCGAGTCGAGGTTATCGATCAGAATTTTCAAAAGCTCTCCGGTATACCGCGACAAATCTCGAGAGTCCCCGACCTCGTCTTCTCGCTTCCGCTGTCGAACGATCCTGTAAGGTCTGTACGAGTAAGGTTCCCAAATAATTTCATAATTTCTCGAATCGGTTCTCGGATACATCGACTCTGCTAATAATTCCTTGTCTTCGTTCGATTCTTCTTCACTGGAGTATTCAACTGCTCTGACGCGAGGCCACCGTCTGAGTCGTTCGTACCCGATATCATGGAAAAGCGTGCGACGTGCCTGTTGAATTAATTAAATAAGAAACTGAGTAAAATGATATTAATGAAAAGAAAGGGAGAAATTACCTGCAGGCTCCTCTTCTCCACGTTCTCTGGCTTCTGTTGGTAATGGAATATCCGCGGTTTCTTTATATCTTCCACCAGAGCATAGTACGACTTATTCTTGGTTGCATCGAGTTTCTCTTTCTCAGTTACCTGACTCTGATACAAATTTGCCAATTCCACAATCTTGTTTCTCAGTTCATCAGGATTAGGATGTTCCATGATGGTCCCATCAAAATTCTTGCGTTGGCTGGGATTGAAAGTTCTTTGCCTAACATTTTTCGTCCGAAGAACTTCTGTCGTTGGTACTTCTTGCACTTTTTCGATTGACTCGTTATTTTGTGGTTCGTATAACAGAAGTAATTTCTCACGATCGAACTCATCGTTGTTCTTGATCATCTCCCAAACTTCTCTCCTTTTTAGATTTCTATTCTCTTGATCTTCCTCGTCGTTCAATCGTTCTTGATCATCGCGTTGCTTGATTGGTCTCCTCTTTTCCTTTATTTTTCGAGTCTGTTCACTTGGATTTGAGCTAATTTTTCCAACTGACTTTGCTCCTAGCTGAGTGGGCCTCGGGCGATTTTGTCGAAATTCGCGAAACAGATCTCTCAAAGCTTTCAGTGCTCTGATCCTCTTCGCTGCCTGAGACTCACGAGGCCTCGCTTTTGTTCGCCTCTTGTTCTGTCCTACGTTGGATAACTGAGCTTCAGTAACTTCCTGAGGTTCCTGAAGAGCTAATTGAATTTTGGTTTGACGTTTCGGATTCCCTTCGGTAGCGTAACTGTGGTCATAATTTTTTTCTGATTCTTTCCTGATAGCTTCCTCCGATAAAGTTTTAAACGTCGTGCTCGAAACAGTCTTCGTAGTCTTCGACTTCTTCTCAAGTGTTTTCTCATTAACGAAGGGTTTAATATTTTTCTGACCACTCGAAGCGCGTTCCGCAGTATCAACCGACGTATTTTCCTCTCCATCCTTCCTGGATTCACGAAAAAACTGGCTTTCGCCTCGTCGAACCAAAGATTTTGGCTGGTTCAGATCTTCAAGTTCTGTTGAAGTTAATGTCGAGGGTACAATCGTGGAGAACATTTCAGGATAATCTCTAAAAGGACCTGACTGGCTCTGTAAATGGGAAATTTGGACGGGTACTTGGATCGTTTCCACGTCTGTTAAGATTTTTTCAGAGTTCGGATCGAATAAAGATATTTCTGGATTTTGTACCATTTCGTGATCAGAAAATTTAGGTTGAATTTTGAATTTTTCCATTGAAGAATCTCTGAGATCCGCGAAGACTTCCACGTCTGGATCTTCGTGAATCTCCGCATGCCCCATATCTTTACTCAGATTTAAAACCCCCTTATTTTTGCTAGGAATAGTTTCCATGTCTATCGTTGATTCCATGGATTCGATAGCTTCTCTCTTCGGTTTACAATTAGAGTTTCGAATCACTCTACAGTCACAGTCCTTCGAATTCGCGTCGTCCTCGTTGATCATCTCTTGATCGAGCACCGCGTGCAAGTTCGTGGCTTCTCTTTTAAACTTATGGCTTCCACTATAATCAGTCTCAAAATTGGATCCCCTGAAAATTGAACTTAAATAACCAGGTAATTGTCTGACCAAAGCAAGTTTAGCTTCCTCAGGATTCAACGTGCTATAAGTGGACCTGTGATTTTTTGGAACACGAGAATCATGATAATTATTCAGAGTGCTATCGTCGTTTTGAAATTTCTCATTCGATTCCATTACAACTTGAAATTCTTTCCCATTACCAAAATCGTTGCTTTTTCGAGGCAGTTTTGAGTCATAGTTTTGAACCTCCCATAGTTCAGAGCTCCTCGGGTTTCCCATCCGATCGTTCAACGATTTTCCAAATAATTGCAGAGGTTCGTAAAAAGGATAATCGTCTTGCAACCACGTTCCAGCATCGTAGTCGATCTCTGAAATTTTCTTCCGACTGTTTTCGTCTCCATTTAGGGCAGAGCCCGTGGCGAAGAACACGTCGCCCTCCGGGAAACCTTCCACCGGTTCCGTTTTAAAGAATCCGTAAAAAGTATTCTCCCCGCTGTCGCTGTCCAACTTCGCGAGACTCGGCCGGACCACTTTCCCAACGTCCTCCCTCCTTTTAATCTCCCCATCTCTGCGCCCTTTGACGTTGTCGTACCAAAACTGTTTTCCCACAAAACCGTTCCCCTTCGAGTTCAAAGACTGTTCGATCTCCGCGAGCAGATCTCTCTTGCTCCTCTTCGAATCTTGACCCATCTTCTCTTCGAAATCGATCAACTTCATGCCATTCAACGTGTCGTGCAAAGCTTCCAAGGACTCCTTTAGACCCGACAATTTTCCCGTGTCATCAGTTTCATTTTTTCCCAAAGCGGACTGTATCTTTGAAACGACAGTGTCCATCTCGCTGGAACTTGTCGCACTTCTCAACTTCAAAAGACTGGCTACGAATCCCTGTAATCTAGTTCGGATTTCATCTTCAGATTGCCTCGAGATCTGATTGTTTTCCCTCTCGGAATCGGCGTACTCGTTCAACTTCCTCTCCAGAAATTTCTTCAGCCTCTTCAGTTCCTTTCTTATACTTATACTTCCTTTTTTCTGTCTATATCTCGTCCGGTCCTGCGCATATCTGGTAACGTGAACTTTCGAATTTTCCCTTCTGAGGTTTCCTGAGACTCTCTCCAGCCATTGGCTCGATAGAATCCGGTCAGGCTCTAATTGTAAGATCACGAATCGTTATTAATTAATCCAATGTTTGAAACCCTATCGTGTACGTTTCGAAACTATTCGTTTGTGTTACGTATGGACTGGAGTGGAAAAGCTGAGGAAGATTTGGTAAGGTAAGAGTGTCGTGTTCCTGTAGGTAAAACGCGTCAAATACGAGATTACTAAGCTCGTTAGGATGGTACACCTTGCTCGTGTAAGGTTTTCGCGTAATTAGCGGATGTAACGGGGGAAAGCAGAGAACGAAACAGACTCGAGATAGAATTTCGATATGCTCACGTAAACCCGCTCGTTTCTCCTCGCGTGCATGTACGTACACGCGCTCGAGCGCGAACCATTGTTTAGGGTTAATTCAGGCAGTTTCTGCAACTGGCTGGTATATCGGCCGCGAAATTGGCCGAGGAAGGTGTGTGCCGCAACGCGTTGCCAGCGTTAATGCAACTTTGGAGTGAACGGATGCATGCGGATCCTTTGTAGGTCGCCGTTCGTTGCATTACCGCTCAAATTAACCGTGATAATGGGTCGGAATCGGCTAGTTCGTGGTTAAAGGTACAGCCAGCTCGCGAGAATGGATTTTGTTCTACGTACATCCAGTCGAATGATCAGACTTACCGGATAATTCCATTTCCTTTTTGTCCGGTACATCTTCGGGTTCGGGTCTCGCGTGTGCCGTGGCCGTTCTCACGGAGTCCGCGCTGTAATTATGAACCACGGAATTTTTACAGAAGCCGAGTAATCGAGAACGGACGGTAGCGATGAGGTTGAAATTAAAACGCGTACACGTTTCATTTCGTCGGGGCTAGATTGGACTGCGATTCGAAGTTAATAGGCGAAGTCATTCAAATATTTTTCTCTCCGTCCACGCTATTGATTGCTTTTTAATTGATCCTGAATTGGTCTACCGTCTACGGCGATACGCCGGTCGTTGCACGTGCGATATCGATCCTCTCCGAATTTGTATTCGATGTCGAAATTTTCCTCACGGAGAGGGTAAGACCGGTTCATCACGGAACGAGATTGGTCGTTGCAAATTCAACGTACGTACCTTACGCTTCCGGTCACCGGGTCGGCGGTGACTGCAGTCGATTTGCTCGAGTTCAACGGTGACTCCTCGGCTAAGCAGAGACTGCACGAGACGAGCAAAAGTAAGACGCTCGGACGGTTCATTTCGCGTTTCACTCGGTCTCCGGTCGGATTTACATTTCACGAAGGAACCAAAGTAGCCTCGAACGTGCCGCTGGAAGGTTTTTATTCGTACTGAGACGACGCGAGTGTACGAAAAATAATGTACAATGCCCGATTGACGAGTAGCGCGAGGCATTTACGTGGTTTCGAAATTGGAAACGGGTCGCGTAAACGATTTTGGAGTTAGCGTGAATTGCACGCACAGCGGAATGCATAGAGCTCGATTGGCGGATAAGTAAAGCAGTAGGACAACGATTGGCACAGAGAAGGATCGATAAATAAAGAGATTCGTCTGGTAATACGATTGACTTTTATTACATTTTTTTTTTTTGTTCATTCCTTTTTTAGAACTAAATAACATAAACGCATAATTTGGTTAATTCATTTTTTTTGTTTATTACTCGTAATATTACTATCGTATTAATAGCTATAACGACGAGGCGCGCCCCTAAAAATCATCTTTATACGCTTTGTCACACGGTTTTTAATTCTCTCGCAATGTTCCATCTCTCCCGCCGTGAAAGCTAAAAGAAACGCCGTGAATCTCTCGTACAACATAGGAAGAGGAAAGCTCGATTATCCTTCACTTTTGATTTAATCCCCGCTTAGATTTGCATCGTTCAAGCTCTCTGATTTCCGTCGTGTTCCGCTCGACGCTTGGAACCCATTCACCGAGGAAAGACAGGGAAAACGGGTGTCCCGTGTCCCATGTCGATTTCCGTCACGAATTTTTCAAGGTTCAAGGGAGGCAACGAACGGGAACAGAGAAAGTAGGATTCTATGCGTGGTTGCAACCAAGAGTCGAGGTCTTGCCTGGGGGGTAGGTTTTCGCGGGCGGGGGTCACTGCCCCTTCTACTCACGAGTACAGCTACGAAATCGTGTGTCTTGTCGTGTCGTATCGTGTCGTGTTTAGTGAATGGTAACTCGTATCCGCAGCTCTGTTAACTCTTTATTTTTCACGGGCGAACGTTCAGGTCGTTAGAAACGAATTTTGCGACGCCTTCGACGTCGAATTTGATTTAAAGCCAATCTCGATGGTCAACTAAAAGAGTTCACGTTTCAAAGGTATACAGACGGTACCGCGTTTTAGATCGTATGTACAAAATTATTTGACAACACGTTCACTTTCGGCTCGCTAAATAAAGGGTTAATCTTGGCGTGCATACGTACGCATGTTTCCGTGTTCGTGTGGGTGTGAACAAGTGGGTCGCTTAACGTCTAGATTACTTTATTCATCCATATCAATGTTTATATATATATATATATATATTATACATAATCTAACAACAATATATATATTTATAATATTATCATCGTCGACCTATACGGCGTTACTTATTTTCCACGTCGTTTCACGCTCAACGATCAACTCATTCCCCAGTGATTACAGCCGCTTTTGAATATCTTCCTTTGGTGTTATAGTAGTTTTTACGTTTTCTAATTTGTTTTTCTTACTTTCTTCACGTGACTGCACTTGCCATTATTTTTTGTTCCTTCTTCAACGTTTACATAGCACCTCGTTTTACATCGCGTTTCACTATGTGTTCTCGTGCAACCCTAACACGATTAACGATTACAATAATTATTGGTCGTTGCATGCAGCTAAAAACGCATCGCATCTTCGAACGTCGGATTATACAATTAAAATTACAGAGGAGATCGATGTGCACGTACTCAGTTGCGCGTCGCAATTAACATAGCTTCGAGACTCGAAGTTCAACAGTGTTCCATATAGTTTTTCCCCCGTGTACGCGTGCGATACACCCTGATTCTTAAGTACGTATGAGTGTCCGATGCGTGTATAAGACACGTACATACAACAGTAGTAATTAATAGGCAACTATAGTATTGCTTCTCGGTTCAACGAATTCACGAAGACACCGGGCACGGTACAGGTGTGATCTACGTACGTTGCGACGTGGTAACACGGTGAAAAATAATAATGAATATACGAACATATGACCGCTCGAATACCCGGAAACCCTGCGATTATTAACTTATTCAATTTGCCAACGAAATTCGTTCGACTCCCAGGGTGCAGTCGCAGCCTGGCGAAATTATTCAAGCGTCGGATCACTCCGAGGACAATCTGTTTTTGTTATTCAAGAGAAAATTGTTTGCTCGCCTAATCGAGTTTTCTGGTATCGAGCGATACGATTGCACCGTGTTCGCCTAATCTAAAAAATCACGCGAGTCCGCTCGAAGATGGTGGCAGACGAGTGACCTCGTCGATTGGCAGCTGCTGAAAATAACTGTTTTCGTGTTGCGTGTTGTCTCAGAGCTCGCCAATTATACTTTTATTATACAACATCGGAGTTCTCCCTTTCTCTTTCCCTTTTCACGTTCCGTTCAGTTTCTCTTGGGCATTCTCTTGTATACAAAGCTAACGACTACTTACTTTAACATCATGACTTCTCTTGGTTACAGTTTTCGGAAATTTTAATTACCCCGTGTGTGTTTCACGGTGTTCTCTCGCTTATCGTCTAACGTTTACAACGTGTTCGTATTTTGTTTGTTTGAACGCATTTATTATTATTTATTCTCTCTGTCACGTGAAACGCGGACGTGCGAACGCGTTTCAACGATCGTCGCCGAGCGTATCAGCCACGACCAGCGTAATAGATCATAACAATAGTACGACGAGCTCTAATGTTAAGATTATCATTATTACTTTATAATGCATTGTGTCGTTGTCTCTGAATAAATCGAATCGGTACTTGCTCGCTTCTCACGGGTTACGCCGGTGCAATCCCATCCATCCGAGAATTCTGAGATACTTCTATCGCGACTGATCGAAGCGTCCTAGAATTCCCGGTTTTCCCTTCGTCAGTGAACGACACCATCTCGATAACTTCCGGTTTATGCTAAACGCCAGTTTGGCTTACGTACGCGAGACTATGTACATGGAGAAAAGAGCGTTACATCTTAACGTTTCGGCGAGTTACGTTCTTTGTCTTCATTGCCCGATAAATTGGATACCTACGAAAAGGCCCTATCTTTTACGGTTCGACCCGTGTCTCGTTCCCACGGATCGGTTGTACTTTTGCCAGCATAACTGTCTCATAGCCAACACCTTGAATCGCTGTTCATCCATTCTTCCTACCGCGTCCGGAAGCTACGTAAAATCGTCGGGACCAGACACGGATCGACGATTGTTTTTGTTCAATTTTCTTTTTTTTTTTTTTTCCTCATTTTCATTACAGATTATACAGTCTATGAAACACGAATCAAGTATGTAGATTTATTTATCACTTGCCACGTGCCGCGTGCGTAGGCTTAGGGTGGCTTCAGGGGAAAGGACAGGACAGAATCCTCTTAAACTGTGCAAAGTGGAAACTCGCTAAAGGAGATCGAGGATAGAACAGTTGTGTGAATTAATTATAAGGAATGTCAGAGAAGAAGAGAAAGTCTCGAGAGTATTCACGCGCTTGATGCAAGGATTTTTTAATCTCTACCAATGTCATTCGTACGGACCGCGTTTCTCTCTTCGCTGGCGAAGAATCGCAGACTTTATCTCATCTCTGTATGATCGTTGCGATTTCGAACGCCGTCGAGCATTCCTCGCGAGACGATTTCGATTTCACGTGACACGTGCCGGACTGGAACCGGGTGGAAAAAAATCGGCCTGCTCAACCCGTCGCGTCCTATCTATCTTTAAGCGAAAGAGAAGATGGAACAGAAACGTCAAGCGTGTGGGGAACTCATAGGAAAGTATCTTTGGTATACGCTGCGTTCACCGTTATAATTAAAGTAGACTCGCTAAAGGCACACAAAAGCTTTTTAATTAATCCATTGAAACTTACATGTTAGGGCTATAACAATAATACATAAACGCGAAGGGGGCGAGAAGGGGCAAAAGTCGGACTAGTTCACACTAACGTAGCGTTCTTCGTTACATCGACTCGGCTAGACAGTGCGACGAACAACATTCATGCTGATCACATCGAGAAACAACAACGACACACGACATTAATCAGCAGTAACAGTAGCGACAACAGTGAAACCTCTTTCTCCGCTCTTTCTTTTTTTTTTCTTTTTTTTTTTCGTTTCGTTTTATCGATCCGTTTTTCACGTGCATTAAGTAGTCGTGACTTTAAAGAGAATTGTCGAGCATAAGGGAGAACATCGAGCTGGAGGTGGCGACAGACACAGATGAAGAGTAGTGGTGGCTGAAAGTCGAACAGGTGAAGAGAGAGAGAGAGAGGTAGATAGAGGTAGACAGACAAAGATACAGTTAAAGATAGCGCACGGGATAGGAAAACAGTCTCTAGCGGCTACACATCGCTGCCAGTATTATAGTCAAGCTGCAAGTTTTGAAGTTATTGGAGTTTATTTCTGTGATTAGGTCCTTCTCCAATGTGTTTCCTCTCGAGTTGCACCGAAACTTTCGCTAATATCCCTTCTGAAACGGGGTAGCTTATTTATTCATATCGAAAAATTCACAAGAAAAAACCGTACGAGCTTTATACTCTCTCTAGAATCAATATATAGATATATATGTATGTATATATTTATAATCTTTGGATTAATAATTGAGTAATTGACTTCAAGTGTAATATCGAGTAGATCGCACGGGAGAATCTGAGTGTATGGGACAAGTTTTCTGTTCTCTTTTCGAATCGGTCGGTCAGGGATGGTGTTTGGACGGGGAGGAGAAGGGCGTTCGTTTCTGATTTTTTTTTTTTTCTTTTTTCTTTAAGGACGAGGACGAGGATCGAAGGTAGAACCGTCTCTAGGTACATTTTAAAGCGTTTCCATCTAAACGTAGATTCATTTTTTTCATTTTACATCGGAGAGAAAGAACGCGAGTCTGCGGCTCTTCGAAGATCAACGATATGTCGCTCTGTATACTTTCTTTGTTTCGTTCGGCTCGAGTAGCAAAATACACGTTCTAGATTTCATCGCTAAACTTTTTTGTTTTCTTATTTTGTTTATTGGTCGAGTGATCTTCGAAGATGCCACGCGTGGCGATAGAGAAGATATTCAATCAACGACATCGACATCGACAGACAAGAGAGGCAAGCATGCACGAGAGAGACTACGTCGAGAATATATTCAAACGAGACACGTCCACTCTCTTGTTCTCTTTTCGTTCATCACGATTCGCTTGACTTCGCAAAAAATGGAAACTTCACGGTCAAATTTACCAGCTAGATAAAGAGCAAGGGGGGCATAAAGTATTTTTTTATTTCTTTCTTTCGGCTCAAGTTCCCGTCGAAACTTTTACCTCCGGCAATCCTGGTCGAAGGGATATAAAGTCGAACGCCGGAGAGACGGTGAAAAAGTTTTCTCGGTTTGTTTTTCACGGACAAACAGCTGCCAAGAGGTATTTTACGGCATCGGGTCCGGGAGAGGGCGAGATTCTCAGCGGTTTTTCGAAAAGTTCGGAAAACCAACGGGGGGGCAAAGCCGTTCTTGCAGCGGCCGAAAGTTACTCCCGCTCGTTTGGAGGATCCAGGAACTGTCTCGGTTCGATAACGAGGCGCCGGCTCAGCGATTTGAATCGTTGTTCGTAAATAATCGCGAGCCGATACGCGCGAGTCGGGTAAAATACTGGGTCGTTAAAACTTTACGAATTTTTAATATCGTGAACCATTCTGTGCTCTTCCAATTACCGGCGGTACCCGTGTAAAAAAGTATCGACGTATTATTGACTCGGGGAACTAAGTTTCCGGGGCAAAGTTCACGATTTTCCGATAAGCCGCCGCTTTTGCGAAGTTACGCGAATTAACGCGTGGAAGGAAAACGTGTCGTGGACGTGCCTTCGGACAACATCGTCGAACGTCATCGACTCTAACAACAGCTGCGTACTTACACGTTTTTTTTTTTTTTTTCACATCGAGAAACAACAGAGTGCACACAGAAAGCTGACATGCGCCCGGTTTTTATTAACAGCGAAAAGTTTGGACAGAAGGCCTTCCGATTTTCGACTGACGTTGAAATTACTCTTTTTTTTTTTTTCCTCGAATTGGGACGCGGTCCTAAATGCAACGCACTCGATTCGACGCGACGAAGAAAACTTTTTCAATTTATTTTTACGTTCATTTGTCGATTTGAAATTGTTCGCCGGTGTAGCTGGCAATTTTCGTAGAATTCGGCGCTCGGTGGACCGTGTGTTTGATTTGTCTGAATGGTCGGGTATGCTAGAGCGCGTGTTAAGGAGAATCTCGAGTTTTGCAAAGAAATCAGAGAATAGCCGTTTGCTTTTAGAGTCAGAACCGAGGAAAGATTCGCGAGAAGACAGTCGAAGAAGAAGAAGAAGATTACAAGAATATAGATTATATCAGATATCAGAACGAGGAACGATATCGAACATAAAAAAGTACACTTTTCTTATTCGTCTTTCCATCGTCCGTACAAAAAACGTTTTCTTTTCTTTTCATTTTTATCCGCCTCATACACATACCAAGTCGAATTTTTAATTTAAGACAAATCTGTCAGTCTCTTCCGATCGAAGGAGCAAGAAACGTTCTCAACGAAATTCCATTTTCAATTCTTATCATGTTTTCACTTGTTGTATATGTACAAGGCTTTGTCACTTGCCGGCAGTCGATGCTCTGTCCATCCCGTCCACCGTTGTTCACGGAAACGATCGCGTTCGTCGTGAACGACTACAATAATTATTGTACAACCGCAACGAGAGTCCAGGTGAACGTGAAAGGATGAAACAATGTTTAGCTACGGTACTCGAACGTTTCCGGGCGGTAACACCTGAAAACACCTCGCTAAGAACTCTGCCTCGATCGTCGAATCGTCTAAGCCCGATCCGTTTCCGGTCCTCTGTCATATTTTTTTCTAATTCGATTAACCTACTGTATAATAACACTCGATAGAAACGCACCGTATAAACGTGAAAGAAAGGCATATGTTTTTTTTTATTCGAACGCGAGAATCAGTGCTGCTCGCTCACGCCGAGCTATTCTTAAAGACGCACGCGGTAACGATTTTTTTTTTCCATTTTTTTTTTTTTAATCTCTTGATTTTTTACATTTTTTGGTAACGTCCTAACTAAATGTCCCTAAGAACCGCTCAGGTGTTACGCGTCTCGCTACGATCGCGGTCGAGCTATGGCTTGCCGAGAGGTAATCGAAAAAATTCGAGTTTTTGGACGGAAGGGAGAGCAAGGGCCGCCGGTCACTCATCGTTTCTCGTTACTTCGTTAAACCCCCTTTATTATCATGACTTCTCATCAATTCGTCTCTCAGCAGTCCTTCGCTTTTTTTGGTCTCGGTCGACTCGCCAGTTCCTCACATGGCCCTCGATCCTTGTCTTAACTTGATTTCTAAATACAAACGTTTTAATGGTAACAATCAATAAGAACAATGGCCGCGGTAATAAACTATGAGAATAATCGATAACTCGAACAATAATAATGACTCCTTCCTTTCTGATCTCCTTGTTGTATTGAACAGCCGTCGAACGAACTAGTGAACTACGTAACTCTGCTATCGGTAGTTTCATTTTTTTTTTTTTTCATTTACCACTATTCGAAAATTCACTAAAAACTTAGGTACTAGTTTTACTTCTTTCTTTTTTACTTCTTTCATTTTTTCTTATTTATATATATATATACTTCTTTATGTATATTTATATATGTATATATAGGTATATTTATATGCACGCGCCCTTCGACTGCTCACGTCACGTCTACGCCATGATATCCGATAAGACTCAGATCGATCGAACATTTTCCTTCTTCCCCCTGATTTTTCAACGTCTGTTATCGATGTTCCCTTTTCGCCATTCTTCTCGTCGATCGTCTCATCCCTCTTCCGCGAATCGTGAGGCATAAACGAACCCATGCGTCCCTGCAACTTATCTTTGATTTTCATTCATCCGCCCGTGTCTCTCATCAATTCTCGTGAAGAGGCTTCGTCGCCCGTCGTACATTCTCGTTAAGCCGATTCGAACATCTCCGACGTCAATGATAATTTCATCAATTCGTTTTGCCAATTCTTTACCCATTTCGTCGAATTTCTCTCCTCGCTAATATTGATCTAAGCTCGGTGGCGCTTCCCTCCGTTCGGTTGTTGCGTTCCTTCGTCGAGATCATCCTCGTACGGAAAACCCTCCAGACGAGATCGAGCGTTGTTCGACCCTCGAGACTCGGAGGGTGTTTCTTGCGGCGTGGTTTCGAGTGGTTCGTGGCTCGGCCAATTCTTTATCTCGAATCGATTTCGACGCGACGGCGACGACGACGAAGACGATGACTGGGACGACGACGCTGATGGTGATGGTATCGTTCGATCTCTTCTCCGTTTGTCTCCAACAACACGTCAGATCTCGCTCTTTCCCTTCCTCGTGGTGTCTAAGGGGCTGAGAGGCGGGTGCGGCCCTGGTGACACATCGATGTGCGCCACTCTCCTTACCGACCGCTTCAAGGGTGCAGGTAGGCTTATTGGAGGTCGCATGTTTCTCCCAGTTGCTCTTTGATATTCTGCATATGCGAGTCTAACATGTTCTTCAATTCTGAAACACAGGAACGCGCACGTGTACACGTATTCGTAATTTCAATCAAATCAGCTGTTCGGAATATCGTAAACCCTACGGCGCAGCGTCCTATATTTAACTACAGCGTACGAACGAATTTTGGATCGAAATGTTTTTCAAGGTACGAGAAATGTTTCGAACAACGGGTATTCAATGCTCTATTTTAGTTACGGGACAACGCTAGAGCGCAAACGAACAACGGTAGGGACTGCTGAAAATTAGCTCGCAGTTTTTTTTTTGTTTTATTTTTTTTTATTCAGTACTCTTTCAATTACGGGACACGTATCCCGCGCGAGGATCACGGAACACACGGCCACTCGGTCGGGATTTACTCGAAAGCCGAACGGAGGTTACCGCTTGTTTGATTTCTGGCTACGGCTCGTTAACCCTTCATCGATCACCCCCGACTACGCCATGATATCCGATAAGACTCAGATCGATCGAACATTTTCCTTCTTCCCCCTGATTTTTCAACGTCTGTTATCGATGTTCCCTTTTCGCCATTCTTCTCGTCGATCGTCTCATCCCTCTTCCGCGAATCGTGAGGCATAAACGAACCCATGCGTCCCTGCAACTTATCTTTGATTTTCATTCATCCGCCCGTGTCTCTCATCAATTCTCGTGAAGAGGCTTCGTCGCCCGTCGTACATTCTCGTTAAGCCGATTCGAACATCTCCGACGTCAATGATAATTTCATCAATTCGTTTTGCCAATTCTTTACCCATTTCGTCGAATTTCTCTCCTCGCTAATATTGATCTAAGCTCGGTGGCGCTTCCCTCCGTTCGGTTGTTGCGTTCCTTCGTCGAGATCATCCTCGTACGGAAAACCCTCCAGACGAGATCGAGCGTTGTTCGACCCTCGAGACTCGGAGGGTGTTTCTTGCGGCGTGGTTTCGAGTGGTTCGTGGCTCGGCCAATTCTTTATCTCGAATCGATTTCGACGCGACGGCGACGACGACGAAGACGATGACTGGGACGACGACGCTGATGGTGATGGTATCGTTCGATCTCTTCTCCGTTTGTCTCCAACAACACGTCAGATCTCGCTCTTTCCCTTCCTCGTGGTGTCTAAGGGGCTGAGAGGCGGGTGCGGCCCTGGTGACACATCGATGTGCGCCACTCTCCTTACCGACCGCTTCAAGGGTGCAGGTAGGCTTATTGGAGGTCGCATGTTTCTCCCAGTTGCTCTTTGATATTCTGCATATGCGAGTCTAACATGTTCTTCAATTCTGAAACACAGGAACGCGCACGTGTACACGTATTCGTAATTTCAATCAAATCAGCTGTTCGGAATATCGTAAACCCTACGGCGCAGCGTCCTATATTTAACTACAGCGTACGAACGAATTTTGGATCGAAATGTTTTTCAAGGTACGAGAAATGTTTCGAACAACGGGTATTCAATGCTCTATTTTAGTTACGGGACAACGCTAGAGCGCAAACGAACAACGGTAGGGACTGCTGAAAATTAGCTCGCAGTTTTTTTTTTGTTTTATTTTTTTTTATTCAGTACTCTTTCAATTACGGGACACGTATCCCGCGCGAGGATCACGGAACACACGGCCACTCGGTCGGGATTTACTCGAAAGCCGAACGGAGGTTACCGCTTGTTTGATTTCTGGCTACGGCTCGTTAACCCTTCATCGATCACCCCCGTGAATTAATTCGTCAGACAGCTACTCTCTTAACCCGTGCCACGAATTTCCACCTTAACTCATTTGCATCGCACGCTGCCACCCATAAATTTATAATTAAAACTAATATACATATGTATTTTATATAACACTTGTAACGCTTAGAGCAGTCCAACTACTGAGGATAGTCATCAGAAGAACTGTGTGCACGTTAATGATGCAAATGGGTCAATCCCTTCTTAGGTCGCAAACTTTTACGCAAAATTATTATAACCGATGAAGGTCGATACGTACTTGTAAGTTCGTCCTCATCTTCTGCCTCAGCTTCCGCCGCTAGTTCCTCTGGTGTTTTTTTCTTGCGCATCAAAGGATTAGGCTCTTCCTGGGTCATTTCCTGTACCTCCTCCCGCTTCTTTATGTTATACTGTAACGAGAAAAACGACGCACCGGTACATAATAGGTCAGAGATACTAACGCGGCATCCGTTGAAGACTGTGCGATCTAATCGAGTGACACAGGACAACTTAATTTACAATTCATGGATCCCAGCGAGATTGACGCGTTTTACGAGCAACCGTAACGCTTAACATCTTCCCTTAAATTTACATTAATCCTGTCTCACGGATGACGGTAGGGTCAAATGAAACGTACGAGCATTTACGACGGATCAAACAAGACGTGTGTCTGTCACGCTTTACGACCTCTCAGAGCTTCGAGTAAATGTCAATGAAAATTTCAAAGGTAACTTGCTCGTTGCATATTTCCAAGATCAATTGAATTTTGTTTATTTGACAAGACAAATTGTCTAATAGCGGCACGGGTCCCAGTTATATCGCAGTATCTTTTACCGAAACTCGGCCGTGGAGTTGCCGTGATCGAAGTTACCGCGACGTTCAAGACACCCGACGACAGTATTTTCAAACTCCGCTAACAAGAAACTTCCAACGTGACAAAGTAACCGAGAGCGACAACCTTCCTCATGGGTCGACGTCGAAGCTCCGGAGGAGGCTTCGTGTCGCGCGAGTACAGCGAACGAGTCGCAAAAACTCGAGTACGGATCTGGTATCCGAAGAACCGTCGGCATTGTTCGCATCGCGTCTCGAATTCCAAAGCTTAATTTCGTGCTCGGCAGTAGTTTTATAGTCAATTTATAATATTAGGAGTCTCTTGAAAGTTATTCGATACGTCGCAAGAATTGAGAGTCTTCGTGTATGTATTTCGTTGCTGAATCGATTGGTAGGAACCAATGTTTCGTTTTCATGAGGTACCATTAGCGTTGCCGGATTAACGGAAGAAACGTTTTCGGGCAATCGGCTTAAAACCCGAGCAGTCAATCGAATCTATCGGCTATTAGCGAGGCACCGGCGCTCCTTACGCGGTGCTTCGTAATCGTATTAGCTCCCGACAATTTCGAGCGCGCCTCACTATTTTCGAAAACGTGCGATCGCCACGTAACCCGGCGGACGTGGTCCACCGTTTACACTAGATTGTCTAGCTCTAGTAGCATCAACACGCAATGACGTTCGCACGAACCAGGCTCGGTTCTCTACGTGGCTCTATGCTTTGTCGTCACTCTTGTCCGAGTACAATGAGCCCGATTGCGGTACAAGCCAGACACGTGATCGGCTGTACGAGTGCCGGTACGCAGTACCATCCCGAGGGCCATTGTAATTCGAGCTATACAGGAATACACGTATTGCGGCGATATCTGCAAACACTGTTCTCGGGCCTGTTTCGTTTCCTCCGTTGTTCCTCCGCTCTTCTCCACATTTTTTGTCTCTCTGTACCATTGATACCTTTTTGTTCCCACGCCCTGTTGACTCGATCCTTTCTCTGTCTATCAAAAGTCATTCGTACAAAATAACGCAAATTCTATTCATGGCTTTAGGACAAATTTTTAGGTAGTTCATAATATTTTATTAATTATTTTCTATTCCAATGTTCTGAATAATGAGTTCGCTCGCGGCGTTCGAAGGAAGTCTCCCACCTTTCCCGTCGTGTCAAAGTGATTAATAACAACGGTTAATCTAATTAGCATTATGGCTCGTTAAATCTGTCTCTATCTATTTTTCCACCGTTCTGTTGCATTAACGACGCGCGGAGATTCGTAACGGTTACCGCGGTGTTTCGCGTTTGTCGTATATTCGCGTGAAGGAGACAGATAGCGGTAGGATAAACGGCGGCTGTGCCTCACAACGATGTCAAATGTGATGCACTGATCCTGACGTTAATTAATGCGCCCCGACACGCATCATGCCCCGCTGAGAAACAACCGTTCAGTTCATCTCTTCAGGAAATCCTGTGTTTCCACGGATACGTCCTTCACCTTCCTCGTTCATTACTTCCATTTATTCATACTCTTACAATATTTCGTTTGATTATACGTTTTATAATACGTCTAGTAAATTACCAACTGGTATAGTTTGATCAGTGTTGGGGCTGCATGTGCGTCGTATCTGCAAGCTACGTCGCACTGCGACATTCGTACTCACTGCTTTTTACCGAGTACATTGCACTCCCGCCTTTTATCCAAAATACTGGAAAATAGCATGATGTAAAAACATAAGGTGTGTTCTTCCGTCGTGTTCAAATGTGTCGCTGTTTGCGCCTTCCACTCATCGGCCATATTGGAAGTACGATGACCTATTGTTTATTACAAACACGCATGTATATTACACTCTGAGAACCTAATTTTTGACATGTTTACGATTTTAAAATTCGCTCTGTTTTAATATGAAGCGTGATTGGTTAGAAATCCAAAATGGCCAACGAGTGGAAGAGTCCGTGTACAGATGGATGTTCAAATGGATGCGCAAGAACACACCTTATGTTTTTACACCATGGAAAATAGTACGAATATCCTAACTTCACTTACTTACAATCTTTTTAATTATTAGTTCATGATATTCATTGGAGTTTGCAATCTTATCCCAGACGGTGTAGAATGATTAAATTGTCTCTAATTGAGTGAGATTCCGAGGGCAATCGCGAATCGCTGTTGATTTCGAATTTGCAGACTGATCAATGGTCACGAAACCCCGTGGGTTCGCGGTGTTTGAGGATCGTCCGACAGTGAAGCGTATCCGTAACAAGGGGTATAGTTTTGTAATTGCTACTGAATCTCTGTTATCGTGAATATTATCCAGATATCTTGTTACAGCATTAGTATTCGCTCGGTTTCCATCTCTCACAATCAGCTTAATTGTCACGCGACGGTGCGCAAGCACCGCTGGTTACACGGTAAACGCGACTATTTGTAAATTGTTCGTTGCCTGAGGGGAAACGAGCGACGCTCGTTTTTCAGGTTGACGAGTTAAAAAAGGAAAGAAGGGAACATTGCTCGCATTCTCCCGTTGTTCTACGAGGAACGAACGGTAGGTATTTTTTAATGAAATTGGCCGTAATTAAGTATTGTTCACGGTGTACGTATGTGCCAGACGGCCGTTGTGTGTTTACCCTTTTCGAAGTATTTGGAGCGACACTCTAATTAACTCCTGCGGGTCATCGGTGCGTGCGGAGCATTTCAATTTTCTGCCGAATCGTGATTATTTTTCATGATCAGCGAATATTTTTATCGCGACAGCTTTTATTTCATTTATAAAAAGAGAGGGACGATGGGTTGACCAATGACGAAGAATGCGTCCTTTCCGAAAGGCGGATCGCTTTTCAGTTTTTAGTCCGCGCCACGGACGCCGAAAAACGATATTCCGTTCTCTCTTTCCGCCATCGCTTACAATATTTGATTAATCACTCGGCTGTAATTAATGAAATTTAATTAAACTTGATATACCAATTACCTAAAATTAATTTTCTAATTGCGCGTACGTGTTGGTATTAAAATCTGTAATTTCGTTCGGACGCGCTTTCTGTCGGAGCGCGAATTTATCGCGTTTATTGCGCGCAGGTCGGACGAAGATTTTATAAAAGCCAGTTTCATTTTAATTACAAAATTATCAATACAATGTGTTTACCATTTTATACGCAAACATTCTACAAATATCGAAACACTTCCTTTATTAATCGCTCTCAATTATTCTCTGGTTTCGCGTTAATCGACGCTTGGCGATACAAGTGACCCATGACCCTGCCGTTGCGTCCGCGAACGCTGGTCCCACGACGGTCCGGTGAACGTCTTAAAAGGAGTCAGCCTGACTCTATTAGGAAGTCGCCATATTGAATGCAGGGACTCCCTACTAGAGTCAATTTGACCCCAGTTAAGTTCAATCTTCTCTCTTCTCTCTCTCTCCTTGTCCGTTGTTCCCGCGCCTTCTTCCATCGCGTGTCTTTTCCTTGTTTCCCTCGTCCTTCTTCGTCAGCGTCACCTTTGACGCCCACCCCCGGGGGATACATACTACTATCGTGCTAAACACGGCATCGATCAGGCGCCGGGATTTTAATTATCGCGTCGAAACCTAATTAGCCTGACACGTAGCTCAACGTCTCGTCCGATATTTGAGCGTAAGCCAGCTTAGGATCCAACGACACTCGTGATCGATGCACCGCGCGACAACTATTAGGTCAGTAGAGACGCTCGTGTACCGGGTTATCGAAGGATGAATACGAGATCTGACTTTCAGCGTCTCTGACCTGATTCGATCGACGAGCCTGTACGTAATAATCGAATGAAACCGACGACGCGGGATAACGTTCCTTTTTTCCTTCGATAGCCGCGGCTAAAGTAAGGGGGATCCGGTCGATTTGAAACCGAGTTACTCCTGACTTTCCATCAGTTTGATACGAGCAACGAGCTCCCCCCCGTTTCTCAGTATTTCCATGCGATTTTATTGACACCAGTCAGTCTGCCGAAGAGACACCGGGAGGAGCTACCGTGGGGTCATGAATTTGTGAAATTGGAAAGCTGTCTGTTTCTCTTCTACCTATTTTACACTTTCCATCGTACCTTCATTCCTCCGCCGTTCGTTTCAGCTGTACTCATATTCCATCCCGTTTCCTGGTGGGTGTACCACCAGAAAAAGGCGACCGAACTTTCGGATATCGAGAACGTTGACAGCTCTCCGCTTTCTCCACACGCGCGCAGCTTGTTTGAATTTCATAGCGAGGGTAACATGGAAATACGCAGTAGCCAGGATTTTCGAGATAGCTACGGTATAAGAAAGAACAGTAGGTTCACTCTATTAAAAAGCGTACTAATAATTGACTCTGCACGTGACAAAATCACAGAACCAACAACATAATTGATTCTACCTATATTTAAAAATATTTATATTTTTTTATTTATTCATTAAGAATGTACTGGCTGTACAGTCAATCCCAATAGTTTATGTACCTTAGAAAAACGCATTTCCTAATTCCTATTTAAAAGTTTTTCGCTAGCATTAATATTTAACGAGTTATTGATGAAAAACGAAAAAACAGTTTTTTTCAAATTACTCGTTAACTATTGACGATAGCGAAAAATTTTTA